ATAGCTTTCTACCTCTAATTTAATACAATTATGAAAAGATATGATTTATACGAATCGTGTTATTTATTCACATTGCACAATTTCAGTGAATAAATAACTCACACACACATAACTAGCACCAAATGTCTATACAAAAAGAGAATAAGTTCACGGATAATAAGATAAAATAAACCACTGACACTGAAATGAAAACTGACGTAATGGCTAAAATCAGTTAAATGAAAGGAATGGTTTCGTCAGCAGTTGTAGTAAAGAAGGATACAGTCAGAATGATTAACTGTCTGAAGAACAAGCAGTTAATGGTTGAAGTCAAGAAATATTTTCGTATACCTCATTCTAGTGGATCGAATAGAATATAAACAATTATTTGTTCCAATGATATAATTTTCACAGAGAATAAAGGACGCACTGGATACAGAATTCCGACCAGAACAAGCTGGAATCAGGAAAGGCAAATCATGTTCTGACCAAATTGCAACTCTACGCATCATCATCACAGAACAAAGCATGGAATGGCAATCAAACCTCTAACTCAACTTTATAGACTTTGATCGTGAAGTAATTTGGAAATCACTCGAGTACTACGGTGTACCCCAAATATTCATCAACCTTATTCAACAGCTGTATGACAAGGGAACATGTCAAGTGATCCACAACGGAAAACTCAGAAAGACGTTTGGTGTAAACACAGGAGTCAGACAAGGGCGCTTGCTTATTATCACCAATGATATTCCTAATTGTGGTGGACTGACTGGATTATGCGTCAGACAGTGGGAATCGAGAAGACAGGGATATCCTGGACCGATGTGAAGAACCTAGAAGATGTGGATTTCGCGCGTGGATCATTTATGTTGATGTCACACAAAATCGAAGACTTACAAGCGAAAACCGATAAACTGGTCGAAGAAGCAGTCAGCGAAGGCAGGACTCCAAGTGAACATAGACAAGACGGAGGTGATGAAAATAACCAACCAACAACAACAGCGGCAACATCCAGCGTCACTCACCATCAACGGGGGGGGATTTGAAAGAGGTTACTTCATTCACTCACTTGTCTAGGGAGCATTGTCTCAACTACAGGAAGTCAGAACTGACGAGGATGTATAATCGAGAATCGAGAAGGCGAGAAACACACACACTAATCAACCTGAAACCAATCTGGAAATCTTCGTCACTCAGCACCAACAACAAAATTCGCTCGGATTTTCAATACAAACGTCAAGTCAGTTCTCCTATACGGATTAGAAACTTAGCGGATCACAAAGAGTATTTCCAACAGCCTGTTGCAGACCTTCATCAACAACTGTCTTCGCTTTATACTGAAGATGAGATGGCCGGGCTGGAAAGAATCACTAACAAGAAACTATGGGAACAAACAAAACAGGAAGCAATCACCAACCAAAAAATATGCAGGAGAAAGTGGAGATGGATCGGACAGTCGCTGAGGAGGCCGGTTGGTGACATCGGGCGTCAGGCCATCGCTCGAGTGGGACCCGAAAGGGAGGCAGGCGGCGAGTGGGACGTCAGTGCAAGGGTAACATGGAGGAGATCCTGTGAAGAGGAGTTGAGACAGTATGGACTAACATGGATGCAGGTGAAAAGTACAGCAGAAGACAGAAGTGGCAAGTGGAGACGTGCAGTTGAAGCCCTATGTTCCACTAGGAACCCAAGGGAACAATAATAAATAAATAATAAACGGTGTAATTTTCATAGTAGTGAAGATTGTATATTAGTCATCAGCATTTGAAAGAATCAATCAAGTTATTCCAATTTCATAAACCAATCACGTAAGCACCTACTGAGGTTGATAATTATCTTTGATTTATATTGAAAACCAACAGTAAAATCATAAAAATGCTGAGAAATTCAAGAAGAAACTAGTGTCTTTTGTCGTGTAAGGATGTTACAAAGAAAATTCCTCGATAGTGAGAATTGTTGAAACCTACAACTTAACACATGAGCGCTAGTTTTACTGACTTACCACATAATATACTGAAATGCCGATATCTCAATATAGTAATGATTATATGATTCAGGGATACCTTTTTACAAATATCAACTGAACACTGTAATATGGGGTCATGTATGGAGAGGATGAGGTATTTTTCATGAGTATAACTAACCTTTTGACACAAAGTCATGGTGAATGATTACTTGAAATACAATCTATAGAGTATTATTACTCAGAATAACAAATGTACGACATAGCAAAATTAATAAGGAGTACACTGCTCTAGTGGATACATATCCACGCACTGGTAGGGTGCTTCCAAACAAAACTTCATTTGCTTTTTGTGCTAATGTTTGATTATTGAAAATGATTAAAAAGATTGAATTATGTAACATGTTTTTTTAAAACCCATTACTTCCTTTGCCAACTACAGTGTGCTAAACAGCGGTTGTACACTACGGCTAGTCAAGTATTCACGTATGACAGGATGAGATCTTCAATACAGAATCATTTTTATCCCAACAGAATGGGAAACAATTGATTGGAGCGTAGACGCTTTGGTAACTTGGTTATATATTCAATTACTAAACTGTGTTTCATAATAAAACTGACCACAGGTTATATTACATCCCTTTCGTCTTTTACTTCTTTTTTCTTGAATTCTTGTACTGTGTGAAACTATTATTTACTAGAAATGAGCTAGATATCAGCCAAGTTAATCAGTATAGTTAACAAAAAAACAGCAAAAGATGTTGTTGATGTGAAGGTAATGAATGAATCCAACATTGTACATTAATAAACGAATTTATAGCGAGCAAACAAACAGGATTTAGAAAAACAAAATTTGCCAAGTATTTACTAGTTTTGAACCCTAACAGTTGTAAAACATCGAATAAAACTTCCACTTCACAAATAATTGAGTGATCGAAAACCACTTCACAGCATTATATTCACGCTTAAGGTAATAAAAAATATGAAGCGATCAGTGCACAAAGCCTTCAGTTTTGTTACTTTCACTGATGTACATATGTCGTAGTGATAGTATCCTATGAACAACCTAATAGAGAAAAATAAAACCCACTTCAGAGCTGATTTCCTGAACTTTTGATGGGAAGCTACAACTGCATAAGCTGATGATGAAATTTAGCATATAGAAGAAACTAAGTGAAACAAAACAGTCTTCAAAAGCAACTGAACGATTCAGCGGATGTGTGTTGATGTAGTAGTCATGATCATTTGGTTGATATTATGTGGTATTACAAGTGCTGAATTGTGAGGCTTCCAGAAAAACGGCTAAATACTTATTGATCTTCTCGAGGTTTCCAATAGCTTTCTGTTGGATTTCGGTCAGTAACTAACAACTCTGAAGTATGTTAGGTTGTTTAATTTTCTTCTAGATACTTAAGACTACTGAATGAATTGCATATATTAGTCGGTAAAACATCATCACCGCTATCTCTTTCACTAAACTCTACCTCTATAAAGTACAAACCAGTCTACCGATGAAACTGATTATGATTTGAAAACTCATAAAAATCACAATGTTAATCAGCTGAACACATTACATGAAAAATATATCTTTTGAAAAGCCAACGTTCTGCTGAGAAACTGGAAGGAGAATTTACGATTCTCGAAAAGATGCTGAAAAACAACGGTTATCCTCAAAGATCCATTAACAAATATGGAAAATGTGAAGGCTCAAATACCAAACAAATCACGGTTGAAAAAAGCCTGTCTTCATTTAACTAGATTTTAAAGGTGAAGACATGCAGAAATGGTCAACAGAAGACTGAGAACGTCACTAGCCAGAGCCTATCCTGAAGCTAAGTTGGTTCCCGTCCATCGAACAACATGCTCTTTGGTGCAGTCAGAAGTCGACAGATACCCTTCTCATGTTAACTCCAAATGTGTATACAAATTTACGTGTATCTGCGGGAGCAGTTACATTGGGAGAACAGAAAGAAGGGCACATCTACGATTTTCTGAACATGTGCCTACTTCTCAAGGGAATAAACTCTAATAGTAGCGCTATTACCAGACATCTCCTCGACACGGGTCATGAGGTGAAAATCAAGAAATCCTTTAAAATTATCAATAAACAAAGCAGCTCGATTCTCCTCAAATTGGCCGAAGCAATTTCCATCAAACGCTTGAAACCCGACTTATGCGTTCACAGAGAATCAGTAATCAGTCTTTCCTTGCCCTGCTCACTGGGTGTCTGTATTTCCCCTTTCATAGGATTGCGAAATCTTTGGCTATAATCACATCCCCTTTGAAATAGTGTAATTCTACTTGTGTCTTGTTTCTATGGTTTGAGTTGAACTCAGTAAATTGTTACCAATTTTATTAGCCACTCACCATCTTACACATCTCTTGTCTTTATTACGTAACTCCTTTACCATTATATCCATACATTTGTTTTTATTTAAACTTGAACTCCCTGTTTAAAATCTATATAAACGCAATTTTCTGAGCACCATTTACAAACTTTCTGTCACCTGACAATATGTTAAATTTGCAAGTATGTTAAAACTTTTCTGTACTTAAACCTGATAATTTATTTAAGCTGCAAGCAGCTGATGAGAATCCAACGAAGTAAATGATGGTACCATATTATTCTGCACAAACCACTGTTGTTCATCCTTTATCCAACGTTCATAGATGAATTTTGCACAATTTAACCTGAGGCTAAATAAGTAGTCGACAAGTAATGACTTAAATGGGTAAGTAGCCAATTTTTATGACTTCGGTGCTTAAGAAAACATGTTTTAATACATTTGAAATTGTTTTCATATGTTTACATCCATTTGGATAATCTGCGCGAACCGAAAAGATCTGGCTTCGAATACACTTGTAATTTCAGAAGTTTGACGTCATGAGATTTATAGTGTCATCCAACATTCCGAGAAATTTGTTAGCCTTGTCGATAAACTTCAGTTAACAGTTGGGGCTTGATATGTGAGTATGTTACACTCTGGCAGCTAGGTCATATGTATGACATTATATATATATATAATTTAGGCTTATACTAAAGTGATTGATTACTCACCACAGTTTGTGAAATTTTCTTGTAATCTAGGTATTGTATTTGTGGTAAAAATGCACATATGTAATGTATGTAGGATTGATTATTTGTCAGTGGATTTCCACTTAAATTGACAGATTCCAGTTTGTCAAACTTTCTTAAATACATCACCTTTAATGCAATAATGATTATTATTATTGTGTTTTTGTTTTCATTCGTCATGTATACAAAAGAAAACAACAGAGAACAACAAATAGAGAGAGAGAGGTGAATCGAAAGTTTCATTTTCGCCTACTGTCAACTCATCTTTTATTTTTTAACAAGGCAACTAAAAAGTGAAAACCGAAAGAACGGATGATAATACAAAAAAAACAACAAAAAAACAGAACGAAAAACTGAGTAACCTAATGATGAATTGAGAAGGTAAACAAACAAAATACTGAAATCTACATTCTCTAATTCAGCGATTTCATTATTTCCAATTGATAGATATTTTAAATTTTTCATTTCATCCAATCCCTCCATCAAGCTGATTTGATTGTTGAACAAACTTAAATCTTCAATTTTTGTTAGTTTGTGTAAGTTCTCAATTTTTGAAATTCGATTGAAAGATAAGTCTGAATGTTTTGAGGCGTAATTACAAAGCAGAGGAATGCAACAAGATAAATAATAGAACAGAAGAAGAAATAGAAAGAAATACAGGTAGATGAGTAGTCAAAGGAAATTATGCAATTCCTAATACACCTCTTTACTGTTCCCTAGATTTTTAACTGATTTGTGTATATTGTCGCGTTCACGGTTTCTCAGATTTAAATCGTTAAATCTGTTGATTTTTTCTTTTTTTTTTTGAGGTATACGTCAGTGAAATTTTAACAGATGTTAGGGATTTTCAAAAGTAATCCCTGAAATTTTAAAGACTGTTTTCAGTTCTTAAAATACCGCTGGGCTACTTTGCTGTGGAATCTGTTTTGCTTTACTAAACTTACTTCAAACAGCTTTCCCATTATGTTAGCCAGTTTTTATTGTCATGCAATGTGGCTTAGTCTATTGCCTAATGTGATTGTAACGGAGAAAATAGTCGAGGAAAGTTGGTTTTATGAAACAATCGGAAATTCTTCATTTGAAACCCCTAGTTTTACGGTAGACAGTTCTCAATTAATTATGCTTAGAAGTGAAGAAAATCAACAATAATAAGTCAAAGACTTGATTCCTGTAATCTCAGGCGGAAATAAAACCTTATGCACGTGGCTAATCATTCATCGAATAGTAGGTATCCTTTCTTGCTTTTATTTCCCCGTTGAAATATGAACATATCATCTCAGTTGCTTATGTACTTAAGTGACATGCGTATATCTAATTTAGTAAAAGATATTTCAATGAAGAAAATTTTCTCTATTGAAGGGGTCAGTGAATGCCCTAAGGCTTTGTTCTCAGATTTTTATAGCTTTTTTTTTGCAAGTATTGGTTTTGTAGGGATTTTAGTTTGATTGATTGGAGGATTTCATGATGAGCTGACATCAGTCACAAAAACATTGAAAAACCTCCTGGGAGTACTGGACAGCTGTTTCGTCTAATCTAGGACTCTTCATCAGTACGCATCCACCGGGGCTCGAATCCAGGACCTTCTGGCCACAAGGCAAGCTCGTAGACCATTAGGCCACTGCGACCCGATCCAATGACTCATGAATTCTAACTTCTACCGAGTTCGAGCCCCGGTGGATGAGTACTGATGAACAGTCCAGACTGTAACTGGTGTCTGCTCATCATGAAATCCTCCAACCAATCAAACAGTTTTTTTTTTATTAGATAACAGTCATCATTCAAATATGGTGGGTGATTCTACAACTTCAGTGTTTTGAGCAGTCGTAAATTCAAACATTTCAGAGTACTAAGTAGGCTCAAAACTACTTAATTTACACCGTTGTTCACAAACTGATGTATTATAGTTTGCATCAGTTCAGCTTATCTATTAAACTATTTAAAACGTGCTGTAGTGTTTCTATTTGTGAAAAATACAGTTAAATCAGTATCTAATTCTAGTCATATTCGATTTCTCCTACGAATTTATAATACAACGGCTAAAAGTCCTGTCGAAATAAAATTCCACTACCGTAATACGGATCACTTTATAGTACCATTTTAAAGAATCACATCCACCAATTAACCAAACTGATATGTAATAAAAGAGATTTCATGATTCTTCTGAAACTTATACGTCGATTTTGAACAAGAAACTACAGATGGATGATAGGCTTTGGTGATAAGACGAAATAAGCTAGTAAAGCAAAGGAACTCTATAATAATGTGATGACAGTTTTGTCCTAGTTTCAAATCTTAAGAAACGTCATCACAACAGCAGTCAGTTTACAAGAAAAACCTGTTACCATTCAACTCAGCGGTCTGTTATTTTCACTTTCTGACACAAACGTAACAGCTGAATATATATTTTCATGTAAGTATAAACTTGGGCACTGTAGTCGAGTATAACTCTATTATGGATAAGATTTTATTTTGATAAATCACACAGTGTTATACAGTAATATTAACTGATGACGTTTCGAGCACAAACTATTTCTGATAATCATATCATGTTACTCACATAACTTGATGCGATTATGAGCAACAGTTTGTGATCGAAAAGTTATCAGTTAATGGTACTGTATAACACTGTGTGGTTTATCGAAATAAACTTTCGCTTACAGCAACCAAATTGGTACTGGACATCTTAGAAAATTTTCGTTAAATTGCATGGGAAAATGTGGAAAAACTATTCAAAAATTCAATTTAATGGGAATAATTTCTTATAGAACAGTAGTAACTATTCGGCAATACCTTGTTAACTTTTTTTTCACACCATACTATAAAACAGAAACTGTCATTACCACATGTAAAAAGTCCTGACTAGTGAATAACATCATTTCTTTTCCGTAGTCAATTTAAAACAAGCGCCAATGGGAGAAAAAACAGTACTTAAATTTCATTAGGTCTCTTCAACTGAACTCTCTAAAAACATGATTATTTGTACCGGTTTTTAAAGTTAGTATACACATAAAGACACGGACATGGTGACAACAAATGTGTATTGATTTCAACGACCATAACCCATTTCTGTAAAATGGGACCATCCCAACTATTGGAAGATACACTGACATCCTATTATATAATGGAATATCTTGTTGGTTTCAAACATAATGAAAAATAGAAACTAAACAAGCCATAAATATCCTTTTGTAAAATTTGCTTAAAGGACTACAGCGAGGCATTTTCATCCTTGAGTAGTAAGTAAGTGGAATCTCAGGTACGCTTAACGAAGATATTCACCGAATGATGCTATTTTGTTAATTGCAGCACACTGATAAGGGGTCGTTTAACTCAAGTAAGAGTAATTTCATCTCAGTAGCTCTAATCCAATATCGCCATGTCAGACTGAAATTAGCACTGATCGCATTCGACTTAATGATAATAAAAACACTGGACTTAATTGAGAATTTGTTCGTAGACTGCAAACATTCCTTCTAAAGGGCTTTTAGTATACTTCAGCTTTTATCCAATATACTGATTGTTTTTTTAGATTTCCTAACCAATGGTTGACATGAAATATAAATGAATATTTAATTTGACGCGATATACATGACTTCAGGGTAATATGAACTAGTGAAGTAGGTGTTATCTCACTTACCTAACCACGTAAGATTAACTAAGCCGTCTAAGTTTTCTATTTTTTCAATAATATTATTATTCAGTTGTAGTTTTGTAAGATTTGTAAACCCATTTAAATTTTCAATTCTCAATATATCTGCAGTAAAATATAAGAACAGAATAAACATTTTTAATTAGAACATACCTTCCAACAATAAGACGCATGCATAAAAATCGATAGAATCACTTAGATGGTAAATATCCCATAGTAAGTTGTGATGATTAATTACTGTCTTCATGAGATTAAGATATTCACTATCAAAACATTGAATGTAAATGACGTATTGTAGGTTGGAAGTTAACTTACTGTCTGTTGACTTTATTCTGTCTATGCCGCTATTTTGAAAATATTTCTTTTCCGCAGTAAATTTAAAACAAGCAGTATTTAGTGAAATCATAAATTTCTGTAGGACTCGTCAAATGAACATTCCTCCACAAACACTGTTATTGATACAAATTATTTTAAGGTTAACATACATACAAACACACGGATATTCTGACAACAGATAAGGATTAATTTCAACAAAAACATGATCCATAAGCGATGGATGAGTAATTATCTGTTAACGTCACTACTTAGTGAATAATATTCATTAATTAAACTACATATTAAAGTGCATAAAAAGTGGAGTTATTGTGATGGAATTACTGTCATTATAAACATCTGTATTCGGCAATATAGAAACACAAAGAAACTTTGCGAAAAATACAAAAATAAATTTAACATATGTAAACCATAAAGAACTAAGCAACAAAATTTCAACAAGTCTGATCTAAGTATTTTATTCAGTGTAGATTTTCCCGCCGATTGATTGGATAGAAGTGTTCAGTTACAGGTTGACATGTCAGCTCCTTGTGCAGATGCTTCAACGATATCTGGTCATGTAACTTGAAGCCATTTGGTGGATAGTGACTAGCAGTGGAATCCAGGATGCGCATTTCGTCTTATTTGGGACTCGTCAACTAGGTGTACTTGCATTCCCCAATGAGTAATGGTGTTCCCACCTAGGCTCGAATCCATTGGCCGTAGTTCCAAACGCCAAAGGTATCCACCGACTGACTTTAAGTTACACGACCAGATATCGCCAAAGTATCTGCACAAGGAGCCGAAACGTGAACCTGATACTGAGCATTTCGGTCCAATCAATCGACGGGAAAATATAAAGTGAATTATATAAGTAATAAGACCTGTTGCTCAAGTGGTGACTCTCGTGGCCCAAGTGGTCTAGTGGATAACGCCTTGACGTTCGAAACTACAGGCACTGGGTTCGAGCCTCGGTGGGAAAACCATCACTCACTGGGAAATACAGGTACATCCAGTTAGTGCGTCCCAAATAGGACGAAATGCTCATTCTGGATTCCACTCCTAGTCACCACCCTATCTGATATCTGATCTCAACTGATAAGGGATAGTTTGAACCCTCAACTCAACAATGATTTTTGATTTGCATATATCTTAAGAAGACTAATAGTATCTCAGATAAAATACTAATGATAATAATGAGAAAAACAATAAAGAAAAGAGGGAAGTGAGGGAAAATCATAAAGGTAAAATAACACTATGCTACTAAGGCATAAAAAGGAGACAGAGTTACCGTAAATCTACCTTCGTAGATCACGCTCATACATTAAAGTTTAAAAAGAAAAGAAAACCATAAAAATGTTTCGATTTTGATAGAGGAAGACCACTAAGACCAGCTAACTCCCAAATTTATCAGATTATCATTTTGTGAAATCCAGTCAACTTCCAAAACTAAGTGACACATCTCGTTAGAACAACGCGTATGTGGATAACCTGCTCTTCCGTGAAGTGTGCAGTTTCTAACTGATTGTCTGAATGAAATATACCTCACCCCTGTTAATTCACCTGAACTGTTAGATCTTCCCGGCATAATCCCAACAATACAAGTGAAACTCAATAGAAATACTAGGACAGTAGAATAAACAAGAAGGATGATAATAAATGATCAAAAAAATAAGTACAAACAGAGAGGGATAACATTTGGACTGGAACTTTTGTAATCATTTTTAGGCTGTTGCATTAATCACCATTTATCATTATCTTTTAACACTTAGCTTAGTACGTCCTGTATGACTTCCATGAATATTCCACGATTAGTTCGTTTCTTTTTTTTTAGCACCTTTCCAAAGTAAACTGACACTAGTCATGACTTTTTCTTCCAACTGGAAGTAGTACTTCATATGATCTGAGTTTTATCTGCAAGCTGTCAAATGTGAATATTACTCATCATATGTGAATCAGTTAAACAGTTCAAGTATAAGCAACATAAATCAAGTGAATTAGTAATAAAAAGTTGAGATATGATCATTACAATGTCTTAATGAACAATATCAAGACTAGTTTCATCATTTGAATTATAAAAATGCCTTACCTTCCCCTTGAAATTCCAAAAAATATACTTTACTGTTAAACATTTTAAAATATTTTCGCAGATATCACTATCTTTAAGTTTTGAAGGTACACTGGTAACACAGGAATCATGGAAACACAACTTTTATCTTAAGAAAGACTGAGAACTAATTAAATCTAAGGGCTTAAGGGTTTTTTATCATTAATCCCAACACCATGTTTATCAGGACAGCATTTCAACCTGAATTCGAGCTTAGTTTCATGTTTAACAAAGAGCTTCACCTTCCTAGTTCTATAGAAAAAATAGGCTATGAGCACTGTGGTAGTTCCCGATGATAGGTCAACGTAAAACTTTGATGAACTCCATATTATTTTTGTTATTCAGTACACTTTTTAACCAAGAGTTGAAATAATAGAAATGTGCATGTTATAACGCACAAAACTATTTCCATTTACTAGTCATAAGTAGGCTAAGTAAAACACATGACGATGTATACTATTGAGTGATTGAATAAGTGACTGGATGCCTCTTACATCAGCCAATAGTGCTTGCTAGCCGCATTGAAGTGATCTAAATACCGGATGGCTATTTTGCCTGTTTGGGGAGGAGCTCAGCAATAACATACCAGGTTTGACTCAGCTAGACTCAAAGATTCAAACCACCTGAATTCAGACTATGTTCGACACCCAAAGAAAACTGGTGGAATTTCACATCGAAGTGTGTGATTTGGAAATTGTAAATTAGACTCTAGGCCATATAAAGCAAGTATGCATATTTGTATTCATTAAGGCATACATTTCGTCCACTGCTTGCTCAAGTGTGGTATCACTTCGTTAAACATTTCAACGATATCTTGCTTTAAATGCTAACTTTATATTTACTAGATTTGAATAGTAATAAATTACTTTGAAAGTTTAAAGCCAATGATTCCACTGTATTGAACTGAATGCCTTCAACACGAGCAATTTTGCCTGCCTCTTCCTTTGGTCCTTGAGCATAACATGCAGCCTTTAGTAGAAGGTGACTGATGACCGTTGGCTCACGTGTGCCATAACGATGACTGACTCCTAATAAAAACATATAAAGATTTACAATACTGCAAAGTTAGTTTCCAAGCGTACAAGAACTAATAGATGCGCCAACAAAATCCAGTTTAATGAGCGGGTAACTAAGTTGAAGTTAACGGTTATCAGGAGTTTTTGTTAAATTCTGTTGACGAAATGAGTGAAACTGAACTAGCGTTCACACCTGTAATAACTAGTAAAATCAAATTTGTCATCAGCCCTACTCATAAACCAACGAAAATGCAGAAACTAAGTATTCTATATGATGGTCAAACAATCGTCAGTGCTGTGTTATAACGCTTAAAAACGATTCGTCTTTTGATTTGACACTAGTAACTAGTGTGATCCATCTGGTCCTCTCATTGGTGCAAACTGAATTTTATCAGTTAGGTTGTAAAGTGGCCACCATTCTAGGTAGCTCGTCAGATATGCCTTGCTGACGAGTGCCAACTAGCACGAAACTTAGGTTCAAGGCTTCCTGCCGATTGCCTCCAATCATCTTATGTCGAGGTAAGATAACCTCAAGCCTAGTTCAATACTAGAAAACTGAAGGACCAAGATACAAAGGACATCTTCATTGCAAGCATAAAGGACAAAGCCGAGACACAAATCAACACCAGCGAAAAGGTCAGCGTCGAAAAGCACTGGGACAACTTGAAAACGATGTGGAGTCAAATCTGCATGGACGTTCTAGGCAGAAAGAAGAGACAGGACAAACAGTGGCTCACTACGGACACTTGGAAACTAATAGAAGAGAGAAGGATAGTGAGACAAAAGATTATTCAGTGCACCGACGAGCAACAAAAACAGGAGTTGAATGCAAGCTACAATACGCTGAACAAAAGAGTAAAGAAGAGTGTCAGGGAAGACAAAAGACAATATTATGAAGCCATGGAAAGTGAAGTCGAACAAGCTGCAGGCAAAGGAGACCTCGCCACACTCTACCAAACAACTAGGCACCTATCGGGCAAAAGTTCGGCGCAGATTAAGCCAGTGAAGGATGACAATGGAAAGTCAATCACCAAAGAAGTGGAGCAAAGAAAACACTGGGCTGAACACTTCAAAAGACTTCTGTCAATGTAGTTGAAGATTGAACGATCAATTCATGGTTGTTTGCTCAAAACCAACTTCCCCAATTTTCGCGGAGGCATCAATACACCAGTCATCGTCTCATCGGTCGCTGTTCAGAAAGAAGTCAGGCCAAAACCGTCAGAAGTAATATTGTGATTTATTATTGTAATATTTGTTCATAGACCTTAGTTTTAAAGCTTAATTTTAAAGTTGGTTATATGTTGGTGTTACAATAAAGAATTCTCGAGTGGCCAATCGGTGTTTTGGTTTTGCGTCCGTTATTACTAAGCGTTTCTGAGAAACTTCAAGGAACAGCGTGAGTCCCAGCGTAGCAAGAGCTGGGCATTAACGGCTTACGAGACGTGACTGACAACTTCTTAATCGACCACCACCCACAACGAGCCCAATAATACAAACAGCAGAAGCAGAACTACCAGTGGATACCAACCCTCCGACATAAAAAGGGAAATCCTAAGGGCCATAAAGATGCTAAAACTGGAAAAGCAGCAGGACCAGACGAAATCCCAGCAGAGGCATTGAAAATGGACCCAGAGACATCAGCAGGCTTGATGACTCCACTTCTGAAGAAGGTATGGAAAGAGAGCAAGGTACCTGAGGAATGACTACCAATTCAAATTACCAAAGAAAGGAGACTTAATTCAATGTAAGAAATGGAGTCGTATTGTGCTTCTGCCTATCCCAAGCAAAATACTAAGCCTCATCGTCCTGGAGAGAATCAAACAAGCATTGGATGAAAAATTTCGACCAGATCACGCTGGATTCAGGAGAAACAAGTCGTGCATCGATCAAAACCCAATAAACAAACGGCAAGTATGACATATTACCTAGTTATATGAAGGAATATTTACTAGATCATATTCTATCATATTTGACGATGAAATGCTGTTAGTTCTACTGTCATACAGTGAACTGTTGTGGTCGTTGTATAAACCTAAAAGTTTGTGCATCAGAATGCGCAACTACACAGTTCCCTGGCTGTTACTCTATTTGAGGCAGTGAAAACATCATAAACTGACGTCTTTCAAAGTTTCAAAACCGCTTATAAAGTTACACAATTGCGCAATCATAAAACTTACTTTCTAAGTTTGGTTTGTAAGGATTAGTTATGTTTTACGAGCTGATCACGGATTGATATCAGTTAGAGAACCATTGAAAACCAGGGAGTACTGGACAGCTGCTGTTTCATCCTAGTTTGGGAATCATCGGCAGTACGCACCCACTGGGATTCGAACCCGGGACCTTCCGGTTACAAGGCAAGCTCGTATACCATTCAGCCACTGGGACCCGATTCAATGGCTCGTGAATTCTAACTTCTACTAATTCGTGATTTAGCGCGACCCCAACCATTGTCGTTGGTGGGACATCCATCCACACACGTGACATCTAATTGGACCTCACTGGTCACGACTTCTCACTAGAACTCAGGAAACTCCAACCTGTAGCAAGTCACTAGCGAGCATCAGAATAACTTTCTATAGTTTGGTTTGTAAGGATTAGTTATGTTTTACGAGTTGATCACGGATTGATATCAGTTAGAGAACCATTGAAAACCAGGGAGTACTGGACAGCTGCTGTTTCATCCTAGTTTGGGAATCATCGGCAGTACGCACCCACTGGGTTTCGAACCCAGGACCTTCCGGTTACATCCCAAACTAGGATGAAACAGCAGCTGTCCAGTACTCCCTGGTTTTCAATGGTTCTCTAACTGATATCAATCCGTGATCAACTCGTAAAAAATAAAACTTACTATCAAAGACCTGTGGATTAGCTCAATATAGTAGAGTGACAAAATAATTGGTGTAAATCTTAAGTGAGGCAATTCAGAATGGAATCACTCCAGTGGAAATAAAACTTCAAGAGCCAAGTAAGGGCGAATTTCCGCCAGTACACTCTCCAACACTGTTAATGTCACTATTGTGAACTATCAGTTCAGTCTCATTTCCTTATCACAAGAATTTACGAATGGATAGAAAATTCGAAATCTTTTGCTATTCTGCAGACTCAAAATTTGTTTGATGACCACTTTATAATCAGCTGATGTTCGATGGCTAATCAATTAGGAAATGGGGTTCTTGTTTAAGTCGAAACTTTACCAAACAGATGCAAACAAATAATAAAAACCGTTTCGTGCCTCGCTGTCACTCTAAAGTAGTGCATGAAATTCTGTCTACTTAATTGCTATTAAGTAGCTCATCTTTAAGACTAGTTTATTTTTGAAGTCATCAAAATACTCAACACTCATGAAGGAATGAATAAATTTAGTAGAGATATCTAGGGTTCATGTTGGGGAACAAAACACCCTTCCTTCAGGCCATTTTTACTACTCTAACTGCTAAGTCATACTGTCCAAACACAATTTTTCAGACCATGGCCACCGACGACCTAGTAAAAGGTATAGCTAAATATTAGGCTACAAAAAGCTTCGCATGTCGAATTTCGCATTCTGTGTTCACTTTCATTCAGATACAAAGATATGGATAGGAGGCTTATCTGTATGTTTATTCCGGTGGTACTTAATTTGAAGAAAATTTTCCCGGCGTTCAAAAAAAGATAGAGACTGGGTTAGACGCTCACCAATAATATCAGTACATGAAGGCACATCAAGGTGACTGGTCTTAGACAGGACAAAGTACAAGTCCCAGATTTTAAAGTTCAGCACTTCATGCGAGGTCTTTCTTTATTGAGCTGGAATACATCAAAAAGTAATTAAAAAATAAGTATGGTAGCAGTTATTCAGATGAAATTCACGTGATCCACTGTCCTTGATCTTCTTTCTAGTGTCTATGAAATAATGTCCATGTAACACGTTGAATACCACTTCTCCTGCAGGGAATCATTCCAGTAATTTAGCGGTCACCTAGACTATAATTGGAGCTTTCAAAGTTCGCTTAGGTACACTGACCTTGCTGCTTCCTTCCAGAAGTATTTAAGCACAATTTTAGTCGACTGATGAGAGCTAGTTATATTCGTGATAATGGGAGTTAAACTGTCCCCAGCTTTTGAAGGAATTCAGTCAAACCTGGTACATAATTTACTATAAAAAAATAATAAAACCAACTGACTGCTTTTTAAATGCCTAAAGGATTTTCCCTACGAAAACTTGGTTTGTCAAACCACGTAACTTTTTGTATTAGGTGTGATAACATTTATGTGAATAATGCTTTGTATGGCATCATATAGAAGACTATGATGAAAAAAGTCAAGGAAGAAGTTATTTCATTTTAAAATGTAAAGAATGACTTACTAAAATCGCGAAACTCTTCAAACTCTGGAATATTTTCATCACCAGCTGTAGAATATTCAAAAATGTATATAGCGTTTCATAAAATTCTATTAATAATTAATAAATCTGAGTAATTTGTTTAAATTTATTAATTATACAGTGCATTGATAGACAGACACATAGACTAATATGTGAACTGTCAGTCAAACTGAATACTTTCTGTCTAAAGCATGAATTACTTTCTCTAGTTATTAGATTTACAACAAGTTCGTTCAACTTGAAGTTGGACTGTTACAAATCAATGTGATTTAGATTACGGCTGGTAACTACAGAGATCTAAACACGTTTTCGGTTCTTGTTCACTGTTTTATTTTTCCAAATTTTCAGTGCTAGCCTCGATGCCCTGCTGATTAGCCTCAATAAAATTCTAAAACAATGGGAAAACAGTATCTCATTACTTTGTGAATCTTCTTCATCAACATAAGGTGTAGTTTTACTACACAGTGGTTTGAATAACTACCTCTCATATTGGTAAACCATGAAAATCTTGGGAAGGGAAAAATTAAAACCCCGAAAAAAACCGAATCGACATATATATATATATATATATATATATATATATGACATTGTAATCAGCCTAGGCAACGACATTTTGCCTTACTGATTGCATGTTTGTTTCAACTAAAGAATCCCAACAGAATTTCAGAGTTATTAAACGGTGATTAACAGACTACCTGACTGAAGTACATCTCCATAGGTAAATTAAATGCTATGAACGAAGGTTGGAGTATATTCGAGTAGCAGCGAACTGCAAACTGATGTGAGATGGAAAATTTAGAAATATTTATTTCACTAAGTAGCCAAACCGAGCTCTGAATGCATAGATTAGAACTTGTCAGACAAGAATTAAGTATGACAAACGGACTAAGTGATACAGAACTGCCTTACACTATAGTGCACTTTTGTCTTGGTGCCAGATTTTGAATTTAGATGGTAGTTATCGGCAAGGAATATTAACACAGGGTTCAGGAAACCTTCACTCTGTCAACAGCTCGTATGCGTCTCAATTATCGCCAAGGTTAGGTCACTCAAAACCCCAGCTAAAAGGCAACCACTTATGGAGCATAACATTGTGAAACAACACACGCCATCATTCCAATGAAAATAAATGTTTTACCTTGTTCTGCGAATGACCATTTACAAATAAACAATAACAAATTAGATGTGTTTTCTCAGACTCACGTCTTGCAGAAATCGGTCTCGAATCGTAATTCATGTCAGTATGCTTTCATTATAATATTATTAATATCCATACAAATAATATTTATGATGTTGTGATTTGTACTAAAGTGACCTTGAATGCATAAAATCGATACAGACTCGACGGATTATTATTTAAGCTCACAAACAACAAAGCGTTACACATAGGAGTGTCCCTGCATTTGAGCAGGAAGAAAAATGCTGAAATTATATTAGCCATGTTAAATTTCACTCAGTCAATTGAAAATTCACTGAGAACTCCAGTCTGAATAAATACTTCCAAAGTTTCCACTTCTACGGAAAAATGTCAGTTGTTTGTTGACAAAGTCAGAGGCTTTTAAAATGAGTCGTTCAGTAGTTTGATGGTTTCTTTGTATTAAGCTTTGTGAATTGTATTTGAAAATACAATAAGAAATGCACTGAAAATCTGAGAAAGGTATTAGGATGTACTTGTGTAGCATGTGCCACTGATAAGACTAATCAGTAGTATGCAAAAAGACGTTCATCGACATAAAAATATTAAATAGCCGAGATAGATTTGGCCTCATAGATAGCGAATGATTCAGAGTTGCCAGAAAGCATGGGAGACATGAAAAGAAGACAAACAAACACAATACAAAGAGCTGAACAGGTAAAACACAGAAGATTTGTAGAAATGATGATTTGCAGATAAGGTGTACATAATTTTGCTATATGTGTATATGAAAACAAAACACGTAGATCAGCGAAGAGTCTCTTTTCGGCGAATTCATTTTCTTAGCTGTACAATCGCAAATATATACATGTGATTTTGTATGTATGTGTACATTAAGTTTGTCAAACAGGTGAATATTGGTAATACAAGTCAAGAAAATTAGGTGTAAATGAAATTAGGGTAGTAATAAAGGTGATGAGTTGTCACAAACAGTTGTTAAAAGAAGTTATACAACAATATGAATAGTTTGATGCACATAGAAACAAAGTAGATAATACGAAATTACGTAAGAGTTCTAAATGAATACAAGAATTATAAGCAATTAAAGAACAGGCAAAGAAGTAAAATTAAGTCATCAAAATAAAAAAACTCAAATCAAATAAAAAAAATAAAAAAAGAGTTGTTACCATGACAGTAGAAGTGGTTGAGTAATCTTTTTTTGTATGCACAGCTCCGGTTTTTTTATGTGAATGGACAGAGCTTCAGCGATACAAAGAAGACGAAACCGTATTACCTTTGATAGGTTATTCTTGACTCTGTAGATTACTTTGAAGGAGGCGTTTGTTGAAATGGAATGATCAGTGTTAACCAGGTGTTCAATTATCGCACTCCTTATTGCACCATTATTGCCTTTCCGCAACCATGCTGGATAGTGTTCTTGAATCCTCATGGAAAAGGTGCGCGTCGAACGACCAATGTACCTGGCTCCACAGGAGCAGGTGAATTGATTTATGCACATAGAAGTGGTCAGATGCGGGATGTTGTCCTTGAGGCTTCTGTAGATCAGTGGGCGACTGGAGAACACTATTCTTAGCGTTACTGCAGAGAATGCTCTTCTCAGAGATGATGTGATCCTTCTCTTGAGAATATTGCTTGCTAAATCCCCTTGAAATCCAAGTTCATGTAGAGTTTCATTTTAGGCGCAATTAAAGTTTCATTTCTCCGAAATATTGGTTTTATATTTTTGTCGATGAATCTTATTGGGTATCCATTTTGGATGAAGATTTCCCTTAGAATATCTAATTCGGTTTCTAGCACGTCGGGACTACAGATGCATCGGATGCGGGTGGCAAGTGATTTAATTAAATTCCGCTTTTGTTGAATGGGTACCCAGCTATAGAAGCTTGTTAGATGACCATTCCACGTAGGTTTTCTATGGATTGATCTTCTTAGGCTCCTGTCAGTTCTTCTTTTTGGTTATATGTATGTATCAAATACCAGATAAACATTCTGCCAACGAGTCACTTGTCTTCTACCACTACACTTGCAGTACAGTCTTCTAAACGGAATCAGTGTGAATTATGATCTTTGAAATGCTATTTTGGTTCACATTTGTTCAGTGAGGAATGAACAGCACATTGCAAGGCTGAATCAACTTACTGTACTCAAACATGTAAATATGATGAATTGGAGATGATTATTGTGTATAAGTTTTAGTCAATAGAAGTCGATAGTGCTTCCGTCAGCCGGCATTATCATCGACTGTCTCTTACAGTAACACAGTGATACGTAACAATCCTAATAAATAAACATCCTTACAAGGAAATTCATCAATAAAGTGATAAGAAGTGGGGAGAAACAGAGTAATGCTTTTAAAAAATCACGTGCAGAAAATGGGAAGAAATAGAATGAATGAAAACACACACAGAAGTTATAGAAACTGTCAGGTCTGTAAAGCTGATAAATGGATGAACGAAATTAGTCAACTAATGGTGAGAAAAAAACAAGTGAAAATTTGATCACAACTTGTACAATTTTGTTTATTATACTTGTTAATATTTGTTTTATAATCATGATTGGACAAGTTTTCAAACTAAAGATGTTCCTCTTTAACCTGTTATGTTAATTTCGATTAATTTCCCTGAAGAAGTTCGGACCAGATTGCCGAACGAAACGTTGGAATTACTCATTTCAATATCGCTGAGATTTTACAAATATATTTTTTACAAATGTCTACTTCTCACTCGGCGCCCAATATTATAGAACTATTCTGTCAAATCTTGACTACGGTCATTGATTTAACATAAGTGATTTGGCAGTTACTGACAGAAGAAAAATAACAAACCCAGTTGGTTGATTGTCGGAATAACTTGTTCTATGGGGGCAATTTTCTTCACAATAAATCATTTTAAGAGCTGTACATTAGTATCCACATCTAAATTAGTTCATAAAGTTTGGGTATTACTTCACTACATACAGCAAACTGAAATGATTTACTTCCGTGCTGTTGTACGCTTTTAAATCAGCCTCTACGCTAAGATCACCAAATGTATAAATAAAAGGATGGCTGCTCTAAAAAATTGAACCTACAGAAGTGCTATGGATGTTTCAAGCACAGCTCAGACTTCCTCAGAATAATCCTTCAGCTAACACTGCTCCTTAATAAAAGCAATGGTTCAGCATGTGTATCGCATGATATATTACTACAACTATCGCAAGTAATTGGACAGAGGCTCGTCCGGTCAAAAACTTCCGTATATCTCGCAGCTTCAGTGGCTATGTCTCATGGCTGTAAAGTGGGATAGAAAGAACCACTGTAAAACGCATCCCCTTTTGTCGGTGGCACGGTTTAACACGTGCACCAAAGATTACAAAAGTCCTCAAATCCAGCACACGACATTTGTCCCCTTTCGTCAGCAATCGCTTCACAAATAAGTGGAGTAGTCAAAAAACTCCACCAATTCAACCCGTATGCCTAGATCACAAGCTGATACAGACCAACTTTGCTTCATTACCGTGTATTCAATAATGTGCATAACACATTTAGATTTTGGTCGAGTGTGTTCATGAAACTCCGCATTTTGTAACCATCACCTCCTTAAAGAGGCACACTGCTTGTGAAGCTTAAATCAATAATAAGATACTCCCTTTATTGCAAATCGGTTTCTGAGACGCTCCGAGTCACATCTATCAGCACAACTTTGATGAAATCAAAATCAGGATTGTGACACTGAGAAACCTTGATGGACAACACTGTCTATCGCCATCTCTCTGTAAACCGCCCCACTGTTGACTGATTTTGAGTAAACTACCTCCATTAAAACAATGTACTTCCTTGACAGCTAGACGTTTTCACATTACCGATATAGATGTCAGGTGCCACCTGCGGATCCAACAGTATGACAAGATTCTGTTTACCATAACTTTTCAATGAGCATGTCTTCACCAGTGCACCGATCATCCATGTGTATCTCACCCTGATTTCTCAAGTTTATGTTCACTAAGTACGGCTTAGCCCACCCTATGGTCTTGAAAACTGTATTAGTCAAGCTGATCGACTTGTGGTAGTCACATAAAGAGTTGCCCCCCTGAAATGATCAACAATCTATAACAGTCTGATAGGGCCATCACTAGATGCATAACTAATTAGTATTTTGATTAATCTGATCGACTGTTTATCATCGCAATCCGTAAACTCCTTCCAAGTCGAGTAAGCAGGTTCTAGAGCTTTGTCTGGTTTTAGATTGAAAACAACTTTTACAACATCGGCTGTAGTTAGAGGACCGATGTCCACATCTAATTCAGCCTGATGGGCGAACTGTAATGCTGCTGCAGACCGAATGGATTGCTTCTCAATAAGTTTTGGTCATCTATTATACTGGGTTCTTATAAAAGTAGTATCCCTTTAAAGAATTATTTCAATTACAACAGCCTTTCAGGATCTATCTCAATGCCTAATTTCCTGTTACAAATCATAGTCATGCATTTATTTTCTCCATTATGGATAAGACTTTATTTTGATAAATCATATGATTATGACCAATAGTTTGTGCTCGAAACGTCATCAGTTAATATTACTATATAACACTGTGATCTATCAAAATAAAATCTTATCCATAATGGAGTTATACTCCACCACAGTGCCCAAGTTTCATACTTATATCAATAATGCATTTATTTTGTTTGAAATTTCAAGATTTTTACTCGCGTTAACTCTAGACATTCATTTATTTTCTTTTTTCAGAAAATATTCTTCTAGTTCCAGAAGCTATCTACAAATGAATTCTAGGACGCATATATTCGGATCATCTTTTGTTGAAGTGTGTTTTGTTATGTGAAGTACGTCAAGTCGAGGGTGTCCACTGCTCAGGAAGTCAAACTAGGATGTGAAACAGGATCTGTACAGTGGTTCTCTAACCAATGTGAGTCCATGCTAAAATATACCTAAAAAGCAAGCAAGTCGCCACAAACACAACACTTGAAAATCGGTTTTAGATGCATGTTAAACAATACCAGATTTATTTCACAAACACCGACTTCAAAACAATATGATGGAAGTGTACTTCCTCTCAACCTGACTAAGTGTAACAGTGAAGTTAATAAGGAAGTTATCGCATACTCAGACGAGCCGCATTAACACAAGTACAGTCTAAAAAGACCAACCACTTGACTAGTAAGCAATAAATAGCAAACTATACCCTTATTATTTTGACAATAAATAAATAATACATAAAACAAGAACAGGGAAATTAGAATTTATTTACAAGCGGGTAAAAGTGTAAGTAAACAATCCAGTTAGTAAAGACTTTTATTTATGAGAGCTATTTATAAGTAGGATTATTGTTGATATTTTCTCTGCTGAACAGTTCGTGCACAGGTAAACCGATTGCTGATAACAAATGAGCAGCGGGACCAGTAGGTTGAAATTGACTTTGATTCTCTGGATCTTTAATGGAAGCACCTAGATTACGAGCAACATGTTGATCTAATTCTGATTCAGATGTTTCTATAAAGCTTTCTGATGCCGAATCTGTATCTTCAGATGAATCACTAGTAATGTGGCTAGTCATTTCGAAGGAACTTGTATCCTCCGGTTCAGCAAGTTGGATATTTTTACGCGGTTTCTGAAAAATCAAGTTAATAAAACTTTAAGAAGTAAGTTTTTAAGAAACACAAATAAAAACTGCAAAGAATAGAATCTATAAGTTCACAAAGGCATTTCATTAATATATATAATGTGGGAGGATTTTTACCTTTGTACCACATAATGTTTTTCTGTAAGCTGAAAAGTGGTTGCGCATTGAGGATTTATGGGCAGTCGGTGTGTAACGGCCAATGTTTGCTGGTTGATTCTTTAATTCATCTTCTAACTGTAAGAAGTATTTTTTCATCGAAAATGATTTCTTTGTTTTGGATGGAAGACGCCTAGATTCAGTACAATTTTCATCTGACGAACTAGAGAAACAGATAGGTTTGTCCAATTTAGGGATAACCTTTTTGAGTGAAAACGGAGATTTCTGAAGGAAGGAAAAAATAGAGTGTGATTAACAATCACAATTAAAACAGCAACTTCAGTGACTTGTCTGTGTCTAAATGGCTAGAAGATTGTGAACCACATAGTTAAAACAATGTAGGAAACGGAGTTTAACTCAGCCTTTGAATAACCAGAAAGGGATCACGATACAGATTATAACTAGAACTCAATAAGGTTAATCATGTAGAGCGCCTTGTGTAGTACACGGTTATCTGGTACACGTATTTATATACACAAATATTGAAGTTTGCAACTGAAATTAAAACGTTACATCAACAAAATTTCATAAAGAGAATTCCATAATGGTAAAACCAACACTTGAATATCAATGAGATGCTCACAAGAGACTTGCTCTATTCAGGTAGGTAGTTACCTGGTGTTCTAGTGAGAAGTCATGACCAGTAGGGTGCAGCAGGTCGGGTGTGAGGACAAATACTCGCCGAAAACATTGGCTAGCGGTCGCGCTATGTCGCGAATTGGCAGAAGTTAGAATTCATGGGCCATTGGATCAGGTCCCAGTGGCTTAATGGTATACGAGCTCGCCTTGTAACCAGAAAGTCCTGGGATCGAATCCCTGTGGGTGAGTACTACTGAAGAGTCCCAAACTAGGATGAAACAGCTGTCCAGTATTCCCAGGTTTCCCAATGGTTCTCTAACTGATGTTAGCTCATGATGAAATCCTGTAACCAATCAAATCCCTACAAACCAACACTTGGAAATAGTTGTAGTGTTCTTTAGTCTAACAACAAATAAAAGACCTACACGTTCAATTTGATTCTGCTGATTTCTTTCTGAATCCTTCGATATCTTAATACTGTCATCAGAACTGGAGGATAGACATTCTTCAAAGTAGGCTGAACGCTCAGAACGAACCCCATAAAGGTCTATCAATTCATCATCATCATCGTCATCACTTGTGAGCACATCATTCAATTTCCTCTGTGGAGGATTAATTGTGGCCGATACATTATTATTGTCTTCTTTGCTTTTTAATAAATTTGAAGATTTCATGATTGATTTAGGCTTGCTATTCGTCGAAAGGATTTCATCTAAATAAAGAAGATAATATATAAACAAAAGTTGATAAACCATGTACTACATCATAGCTTGTGCCAGAAGGTATATTTGTATTGAGACAAACACCTATTAGAAAGTCACAATATTGTCTGCATATCAGCGATCAGGGGGAATAGATAATGGTACGAATATTAGCAATAAATTATGCTTGAAACATAGTCAATAGTAAATAATGCAGTGAAACACTGTGTGACTTTATCAAAAGAAATGTACTCTATGATGGATTTAAACTTTACCATAATCACCAAGTTCTATTGTTATATCAGTGAATAGAGGAGATAGGAATAAATGAGCCAACCGTTGAGTGTTTAATGGCTGATAGCATAAGATCAATGCTGTTGGGTTATTCACACACACGTACACACAGAAACAAATGTGCCCAAATTCTGATTCACTTATAATCTTCTGTTAGAATGAGCCAGAAATATATTTTATGCCGAAAGCATTTTTTAATGTCTTGATACAGTTGAATAAGAACTCTAAATGAACATGCACTGGTTGATGACTTCTAAATACACTGGGTTTTGAGCAAAGTCAGAACAACAACAACAGGATAATATAAGCTAGTGGATTATTTCGTGGATTCCTTTCACCTGGCTTCAACCAGAAAAAATATGGTTGATAGGATCTCTAAGTTACACAAGTTCGGAATGACGTAAGTAGTTAAATTATTATTAAGTATTAAAAGGTTAGACTATTTGAAGGATATTTAAACAATTATTCTTGAAAAAGGGCAGAGTTCAAAATTTAGGTGGCACGGGTTCGAATCTCAAAAGGGGCATGAGTTCCTTCAAGACTGACAGACTGGACTCAACGAAGAACTTTGCATAGATGTGTAGCAGTCCGAATTGCCACACCCTATGTGGCACACAAAGCAAGAGAAGAGAACAGAGAGATAGTAAACAGAAATATCAGGCAAAAAGAATAGTAATATGGAAGAACAAGACTGCAGATACGCCTTGCTGGCGGGTGTCAACAAGCACGGAACTTAAGTTCAAGGCATCCTGACGACCGTCTTCAAACATATATTAAGAAGGTTAGGCAAAATAGTATGCCGGCAAAACTGGTTGCATAACAATTAAAATATGTTTTTACAAAATACAACATTTGTTTAGCACTGAAAGAGGCGACCAACCTCGATAATTTAATCAGCACACATACTTGCTACCTTTACGTATAACGAAGTATACTTAAATTGTTCTGATAAAATTGTATGACAATCGGAGCATACCTAGTAAAAACTGAAAAGCAATCACAGGAAATAGATAGACATGTTCCCAATAGTACTCTTTGACTTCTTGAGATAGTCGACACATTTTCTTAATGTTGCATTCGGAACAAATTTACTTCGTTTCACTCGTTAGTTAGAAAGATTTTTGTTTCTATCTAAAATATTTGAATGTCGAGAAAAATTTCATTCTCAAATGTTTGGGTTTGATTGACTGATTTCGGTTACGAAGCTGTATCAGTTAAAGAAGCACTTAAAAAGGGGAGGCAGATGTCCCGGGATTCCCGGTTTTCATTGATTTCCTGAGTTATATCAGTTCGTGGCAAAATCTATTTTAAAATAAGACTATTTGTTCAGGCCAACTTCATGGAAATGAAACTGAATGAACAGGTTTTACTGTTAATTCATGACAAGCTAAGGGAGGAAAATGAAACCGACAGTTTGACATTGATTAACACTGCTCAAGTAGTATACTCAGTTCCATAAGTTGAAAACATCTCCGAAATGATATTGTACGTTTTATGTATCAGATAAGTTATTGTTAATAGATATATGCACATTAAGGTGTTCTAATCTGTCACATTTACAAGTGGTAAGAATATTAAAATAGATAATTATTAAAAATTGTTATCTAGCAAGTTGACTGACCATTAGCTTCGAGCAATGACTTCATAATATCTCCCATATTCATGGAACCACCTTTTTCCTTAATGCTAGGATGAGAGTATTCACAGTAACCATTTTCCGATTCCTCTGCAGTAGAATCCTCATCAGAACTCGTACCATCACTGCTTAAAATATCCGTGTTTTCAGGTTTTCGCTTTATCCCAAGGCTAAAAATGATATGAAAATAATCACAATTACTCCTGGTTTGCAAAAAAAATAAACAAACACGAAAAATACCACATGTTTATATGCACATAAGTAATATAACGTGATCTTAGCAGGAAAAACAATTAGGCAGTTGTACATTTTCAGTCTACTAAACACCAAGAGTATGAAATCCCTTCGTGAATCAATCGTGTATGCAGTACTGTATGACAGGAACTAACCAAGCATATATATTTGGTATTTAAGTGTTGGCTTGTAGGGATTTGGTTGGTTTTAGGATTTCATCATGAGCTGACATCAGTTAGAGAACCATTGGAAAACCTGGGAGTACTGGACAGCCGTTTCGTCCTAGTTTTGGACTCTTCAGCAGTACGCACCCACCGGGATTCGAACCCAGGACCTTCCGGTTACAAGGCGAGCTCGTATACCATTAAGCCACTGGGACCCGATTTGCTTAAAATAGCTAGGAAAAATATACGGCACGTTCTCATATTAATTATCATAAATAATTTGAAAATCTATAAGAAGCTTTATTCGAAGATTAGAAAAAGTATTCCAATGAAGTGATCACCTTATTTACTTAGGAATTTACACCAGCAGTGTATCAGATGTCTGTTGAAAGTAAAACCAGGTATATGGTATGGCGAATGGACCATCTAATGTGTAACACAGGTGTTGGACAAGTACATGTGACAACCAGTTCAGATAAAATGATGAAAGATAACTCTTTCTGGAAACAACTTTTCAGTGAATCAACAACGTACAGATATACCGATTTCCAAAACAATGCAGTTCAATAATATAATGGCAATAAACTGTATGTCTGAATATACTACTCACAATATAGGGTACAACACTAAAGAGCTGAATGAGGATTTTATTCACAAGTGCTTCCATACTTCATATGAAGTCTGAGATACTGTCACTGCCCAAGCACTCAGACCGAATCAGATAATCCTTTTTACAGCCTACTCTCCTCCAAGCCATTTGACTTCAAGTTCGATTCACAAGGCAACTGCACATTCCCGTGGTCGCTTGTGACCACCATTCATTCCATAGAGATCTTGGAGCCCATGTGCACCACGATTTTTCCTACTTATCTAGCTGAACCCATCGTGATTACCAGTCTGGTGATGAGCCGGAGAAACACCCCGCCTAGCACACAGGAAGTACAAGATTAGACTAGAAGACGAAGAATAACAGTGGTGAGATTTATTCCCAGTACTGCGTGGTTGTGCTGTCTTTACGCGGCGTAGAACATAGAACTGTTATGAATCAACTGTTAGAACTCCCACAATACAAGATAGGATGAACTCATCAGCTAAAATCGTTTATATCTCATTATTTCGTCTGTTTCTTAGTTTCCTTCCCATTACCACCGTATTTTATCGTTCTTTTGATTATGATAAGTTGTATGGCGTCTACCACGTAAAATAATGGCTAGAGTAAACAATGATTTCTAAATGAATCAAGCTTAATAAAAATAGTTGACATAAACAATTAAAGACTTAACTAACCAATGTTTCCTTGGCTCAATACCCTTGAAGAGGATGAAGAATTCATAAATTCTTTGAGAATTGATGAAATTGAATTGCATGGTAAATTAGCTTCATTTGTTCCATTACGCTCCAACAAAATTTCATCCAATTCTTCTAGAGTAATGAACATCCATGACTCGTCTCAAACAAACAAAAATTAAGGAAAATAAATTCATCGGAAATATATTGAACGGGTAAATGTAAGTATGTAAAATACAATCATTTCATTTTATCAACTTTTATAAGAGAATAGATGTAATAAATGAGCACTTAACAAACAATTAACGAATCGTACGATTCATGTTTACCTAATCTACAGTTAAGCAGTTTTTTTTCACTGCATAATTGTGATACCAACAAGCTTCCTGTTAAAAACCATCCAGCTTACAACACTGACTGCGATCGATGACGTCAATATTGTGGATTGGCGAATAATATTAAGGGATAATCTGAGCCCGAATAGCTCAGTGGTAACGTCTACGACTGCAGCACTGGGTGACGCGGGTTCGAATCTCAGAAGGGACATGAGTTCCTTCAAGGTTGCAGATACGTCTTGCTAACGAGCGCCAACTAGCACGAAACCTAGGTCCAAGGCTTCCTGCCGATTGCCTCCAACTATCTAATATCATCAAATCAATGTGCACCGTGACGGCGAGCTACCTAGAATGATGACCACATTACAACCTGACTGGTAGAATTCAGTCTGCACCAATGAGAGGACTAGACACATCACACTAGTTACTAGTGTCAGATCAAAAATATAATCTGTGTAGTTAGAAACCAACTCATTATTGATCTACACACTCAGTCAGTTTGTGAGCTGAACTCGTCTAGGCTATGCTGCGGATGATATACGCCCAAAAAGAACAAACCGGTGTTAAGATCCCTGCAATATGACTGATGAAAATCTGCAAATCACAATGTATAGAGTCTCCAACTATTCATGTTGCTTGTTTGCATGACTGAACAATCATGTGTTCTACATACTAACAAGCAACAACAAAAAAACACCTAAAGATACAACTGACTGAAATCCAGCCAACATGGGTATATATCAAGTAACATCACTGCATATTAAAGAACTACTATCATGAAATATGACCACAAAATAAAGCCAACCATCTTAATAACTAATTAGTTATGAGGAAGTTTCCCGATATATTACTTGGATAAAATAAAACCAGAACTAAATCCGCCTGTCATACCTGAGTAAAATGAGGATGGTACACCATAAATTATGCTTCACATAACATACAGATACAATGTTACGTCGCATTACAATGGCTGATCAACTTTTAATTTTCATCGGTATACTAAACCACTATACGGCAGATCCTACTTAACTCAAGTGAATAACTTGTCTGTCTGTCTGTCTGTTTTCGACATAGAACTTTGCACAAATGTGCGGAAGTTCAAGTCGCCACATTCCGTGTAGCACGCGAAGCAAGAGAAGAAAGTACAAGAAAAGCATAATAGAAACAGTGAGCAGAGGTGTGAGACAAAGGAGTAATAAAGAAATACAAAACAGTTTCATTGGAGATCATAAGTCACAGGGAGTGGATGCATCTGCGCCACTGAGAACGATTTTGAGCCATGTCACCAATTGTTTCCAACCATAGATTTTTACCGTCCCGAGGACCCCAGCCTGGAAGTCTACACCTTCCTACGTGGCTTAGACCAACTGTTGTGGATTTCATTGACTGATGCCAAGTTTTTGTTTGACCGCCGCTAGCTTTTTTCCAGCCTGACCCTATATCCGCTAACATTGCTCGTCGAGGGAGGCGATGGCTTGGCATACGTAACACATGTCCTAACCATCTCAGTCTTTGTAGCTTCACGACTTCGTCGATTGATTTCCCCTGTTTACCTAGAACTCTACGCCTAACCTCCATGTTGCTCACCTTATTATGCCACTTTACACGGGAAATAGAACGCAGGCACCTATGATCAAAGACAGCTAGTCTTTTCATGTCTTCCACTCTCAGTGGCCAGGTCTCACAACCATAAAGGAGGACGGAGCGGACTGATGAGCAGTACACCCGCCCTTTGGTCGATAGTCGAACATCTCGTCTACGCCAGAGTCGGCGTAAACTAACAAATGCGAAACGAGCCCCTTGTATTCGTGCTGAGATTTCGTCAGAGATCAGCCCGTTGGGGCTGATGGTACTTCCCAAATAAGTGAAGCGGTCAACGTGCTCTACCACTTCACTTCCTATTTTTAAACTAGGCGTCGATGTAGTCCAGTCCTGTAACATCATCTTGCATTTGGCGGGAGCGAATCGCATGCCAAACATTCGTAGATTGCGGCTCAAGGTGTTTAGAAGACTCTGCATTTCGTCAGCGTCTTCGCCTAGAAGGACTATATCGTCTGCATATTCCAAGTCAACGAGATTATTCCCCGGTAGCAAGTCAATCCCTGAGTCGCTGAAGTCACCTAGGGTTAAGTCCATTAACACATCTATGATGAAGTTGAATAGAAAAGGAGATAATGGGCATCCTTGACGGACACCACTGGTCGTCATCAGTTCAGATGACAGCTCGCCGTAAGCCCTCACCTGGCTGTATGAGTACGAATAGAGTGCCTTAATCAGTGCAATATATTTTCTCGGAATTCCCTTTACAGCCAAGCATCTCCAGAGAACTTCCCGATCGACAGAGTCGAATGCTGCCTTTAGGTCAAGAAATATAATGACTGTTGGACGCCGGTAGGAATGCCTATGTTCTAGAATCTGTCGGAGGGTGAAGATATGATCAATACACCCTCTTCCTGGTCTAAAGCCTGCCTGGCTCTCTCGTGTTTGTGCTTCCCGAGCACCACTCAGTCTACGCATGATTATTGAGCCTAAGACTTTAGATACTATATTAGTCAAGCTAATCCCTCTGTGATTATCACAGGAAGACTTGTCTCCCTTCTTGTATATGGGGATAATCAGTGACTTACACCAACCCGATGGGACTTCTTCTGATTCCCAGACGCTGCCTAGTACCTCAGTTAATCCGGACAGTAAGCTGTCTCCACCGTACTTAAATACCTCTGGAGTCATTCCATCAGGTCCCGCTGCTTTGCCTAGTTTCAGATTGGTGACAGCTTTAGTAACCTCAGTTAGTGACGGAGGACCTGTGTCTATATCCCATTCAGGGAGGTGTTGGATGCTCGGAAGGTTGAGCGTGGCTGTGGGCAAATTAAACTGCTCCTCATAATGCTCTTTCCAACGATCCAGTCGTCTATCCTGGAGCTAATTATAGTGCCATTTTTTTCCGAGATTGTCTCACTAATGATTTGTCTTCTCCCACCCGTTTCCCTGATGAGTCCAAAGAGTTGCCTGGTGTTGCCTATCCTCAAGCTTTCTCCATCTCTTTGGCTTTTGTCGCCCACCACTGTTCACGGTCCTTGCGGAGACTTTTCGTAAGTTTCCTCTTGTGCAGCTTTCGCTCCTCATTGAATTCGGAGCTCGCCGGAATAAGTCTTCTAGCATCTATCAGTTCGGATGAGGCGGTGGAGATCCAGTGGTTTTTACTCACCTTTGGGTTTACCTTATTCACAGCTTTTACAGCTGTATCTATGGCTGCCTGGATATTTTTCCAAGCTTCTTCAGGGTGAGCACAGCTGTCGAACACAGATATGTGTTTAGCTAGTTCTTCCTCAAATACGGATTTAGTTTCCTGATCGAGCTGGGGACGTGATGGTTTTACCGCCAGCTGTTTCCTACGTCCGTTCAGTCGTAAGCACACCCGAGCGCGGACCAGTGCATGGTCGGTATCTACGCACGTGTTCCAGAAGGAGCGACAATCTCCTACCGACCCACGCCAACGATAGCTTATTGCTATGTGGTCTATTTGTGTCCAGCGTTGGTTTGATGAAGGGGGTCTCCAAGTCAAACAGTGTCTCTCCTTGTGTTTAAAGTTAGTGCTTACAAGAAACAAATGATTATCAGAGCAGAACTGTAGGAGACGGTCACCGTTGTCGGTTCGCTGGCACGGAACTCCATAGGTGCCACCGACATCCTTCTCAGATTGACACAATTTCCCTACTTGAGCGTTAAAGTCACCAGCTAGAACGACTATGTCTGAGCGTTTAGCCTTTCCACCAAACTAGACAGCTTTTGGTAGAACTCATCCTTCGTTTCATCTGAACTGCAGTCAGTGGGGGCGTAGGCGGAGATTACGAAAAGGCATCGGCGAGTAGTGCAGTCCTTCCTCCTTCTTACTGATCCGTTCAGGCGGACAGCACACATTCGGCTATCTACCGGGATCCAGTCAAGCAATGTCTTTTCTGCCCTAGTACTCAAAGCTATCCCTACGCCAGCTAATCCTCGTGAACTAGCTGTGGCATCTCCTGACACCCTCAAGGTGAATTTTGCAGATTCAACCTGTTGGCCAGGTGGGGTTAGGTGAATAACCACACTTGGGTCTTGTATGCGTGTTTCTGAAACACAGCATACATCAATGGCTCGTGATGCCAGGGTCTTGGCTAGTGATGCTTGTTGTCCTATTTGGCAAAGTGTCCTAACATTAAGAGCTCCTATATGAAATTGGTGGCGCGGCTTTAAGAGGCTGTCGGTGGTGGTTTTTTGGCTTCCATCGTTTTTAGTGGACGCAGAGTGGAGAGGAAGTGGAGAGCTATCAAGTCGAGGAGTTGCATCAGTGGAAGGAAGGCAAGATGATAGAGATGAAGATGAAGACAAAGATGAGTGAGTAATAGAGAGGTTTCGTGTGCATTTCGGATTGTGAGGGCGATTGTTACTTCCCGGCTGCCCACACCGTGGAAGTTGGTTGCGTGACCGCAGAGCCCAGGGGACAACTGCTTGAGGCCGGTCACACGCGGCCTGTTTTTGTTCGTTCTTTTTTGTTTGGTGTGTCTCAGTAGCAGATTTATCACTCCCGCCCTGTGACACGGCAGCAGGAAGCGCGGTCGTTGTTAATCCGGGCCACGGCCGATCCGGCATGAAATTTTGTAATTTTGTATTGGACATGATGTTGGATTGGGTAGCTGCTTTTTGTTTAACCGCTATCCAAACAACCTGCCTGGCATGGTAGAACCTCAAGAGACATAAGTCTCAGCCAGTATAGCTTGATTAGGTCATTGCGGTGTTCAAGATAGTCAATGGATAGTACAGAAATATGATTCAGTGAAAATACATTTTGTGTCATGTTTGTATATTCAGTTTCTAATGTAAATGAATAACAATAGGGAGAATGAAGGTTTGTACAACGTTTATCATCAGCGATACTTAGCAACAAAATAACCGTGTACTGAATATAGCAGTGCTACGATATTATGACAACTAAAAATGGCTGATAAGTCGAACTTTCTCATTAATTTGTTTAAAATCGCGACACAATGGTAGACTATTTCACATGTCTCAATGATTTTGATTGTGGTGAAGAGAAGTGGTGATTTGTCCATTCAAATTTTTAATATTTGTCGAAATACTATCAAGAACTTTTGTATTTTCAGCCATTTGTTTTTACCGGATCGAAATGATAGGTCCCTACTGGCTAAATGATGCTAAAAAGGATATCAGAGCATTTGAACCGATAAGCGCTGCGTCTGAGTCCCCGATGGTAACAATCTCACTGAAATGAGGGATTATGTAAACGGTGAGTCTCAAGCCAGTAGCCACGGCTACTGACGCATAAAATTAAAAGAGATCTTTCGAATGAATTATTATAACCAAAGTAATTAGCTTCAGGGGAAACTGTGTAGTAGTTGTAATAGTGGGTAAAAGCCAATTCCAATTCCACTGAGCTTTCATATCATTTGTCACCAAGTAATATGTTGAGATGTTAGCTATCGACTTAAAATTTACCACATTAAATAATCTTACCCTCGCGAAAAAATTAAATGATAACTGAAGTCAAAATTTTAGTCTGTATCGCTGCATGGTGATAAAGAGGCGGCTATGCACTGCATAGCTGTTTGATCTTCACTTTTCTATCTCTACGAAACATAGCCAACTACCTGCGTTCTGTCTCCCGCGTTTAGTAGTACAATATGATACGTGATATTGAGGTTAGGTGTAGTGTTAGTTAGTTAGGTAAGAAAAAGAAGTCAGTCGATGGGGTTGCGAATCTGCATCTAGATAGCTGGGATAAATGCTGCGCGTGGCGAAACACTGCCTTCCTCGTGAAGCAATGTCAGATGACATGGGGTGAAGTTAACAAGTAATTACATATGCTTAGGTTAGAACATGGGATCGACCCACGAACTCTCTGAGTGTTGGTTCGAGCTATTCAGAGATGTTTAGACTGTTTGATACTCCCCACCCCACCGGTATGCTAGGAATCTGTGGTATGGCTCAGAAACATTCTCAATGATGCGAATCTACAAACTGCTAACGGTCTTCCTCAATATTCTTCAGCTAATTATTCTTCTTTAAGTTCTTTATTTTTATTGCAGTTTTAATGAATCCTGTGTAATTTTACAAAGTATGACTACAACAGTTAGTCATAGCCACGCAGGAAGGTGTAGACTTCCTGACTTGTTGGGGTCCTCGGGACGGTAAAAACCAATGGCTGGAAACAATTGGTGATATGGCTCTAAATCGTTCTCATTGATGGCGCAGATGCATCCACTCCTTGTGACTTATGATTTCCAATGAAACTGTTTTGTTCTTCGTTATTACTCTTCCTTTGTCTCACACCTCTGCTTACTGTCTCTATTATGCTTTTCGTGTACTTTCTTCGCTTGCTTTGTGTGCTACATGGAGTGTGGCGACTTGAACTGCTGCACATATGTGCAAAGTTCTATGTCGATAACAGACAGACAGACAGCTCTACTGCAGAACCATCAATGCATATAAATATTACAAGTTATTCGATTCTACAACTTCAGAGAATGTGATAATTTCCATTTTTATTGCTTGATAGATGACTCAGAACAGACATAAAAACTACACATGTTTTGGGTAAAAAAAAAAGTGAAATTCATATTGTTTTTTTTATTTTTAGGTATTCTATAAAAGTGCACATACCATCAGCAGGAGGTATTCCATTTTCTCCCTCCATAGAATCAATTTTATCAACCAAAGATGAAGATGATTCATTGTTTTCAATATAATTTAATAAGGAGAATAAAGTGTTACTGTGCTCCTTAAGTGAGTCTTTTGTATGTGAAGTGGATAAGAAATCATCAGAAGTGCTAGAAAAAATGCGTTAAGCAAAAGGCAAATAATAAATTCTTTTTATAAATGAAAGCAATAGTTATGTAAAACTATGTATGCTCTACAAAAACGTTTTGAAAAACATTAGATAACTGAGTAGAACCATTTATTTTATAAGGAGAACAAACAATTATTATTCAGTGAAGAAATATTTCACCTCAGCAACTTCAATTTCAAATAGTATTATTGTAATACGATACACAACATGATTGACTGTGAACTCTCATATCCACTAAAACCCTAATGTTTTTTCCATGTCACTATTCTTTCTCCCTCACACTTCTCTCAGTTCAGTACAGTTCTTTTGTGTTTCGTTGGCATCTCTCTTTTCTCAACCTTTCTGTGCTGTACAAAGTGTGGCAACTTGAAGTGCTATGATTTCGTGCAAAGTTCTATGCTGAAACTCATTTAGTCCATCAAGTGATAAGTGTTAATTTTTGAAGTGGTTGAATTTAGTCCCAAAGGTCCCAACTTTAAAAAACTAGGCGATAGGGAGCTAAATTACCACCCAACAGATCCTGCCATCTTAAATTCATTTTTGTCGTAAACTAAGCTGGATAATGTTCGAATATATGTCTCTGGAAATTTTGCAGACAACGTTCAGTGTAATCAGTTTCATACGACAATTTCATATTGTGAATATACACAGAGGTGAATATTGGTGGTAGTTCAATCTTTAAACATATATAAACATTGCTGCGGTTGGAGTAAATAGCAAGTACATTTACACAAACCGCTATTCAACATTTCGGCAATGATATCTCTTAATTAGTGTCTTCCTTGGAAGTATAATTACGAGAAAATGGTTTGCTTCTTAAATTCCCTATCGATAATGCTACGAGGGTATCAACTGTTTTAGGAGTATTGACCAAAGGTTTTCGAGTTATTCTTTACCGCTTGACCCACTTTATGCTTCTTAACATTAATTCATTTCCTTAATAAGTAGTACTTGTGGTTTTCTTTCAGTTCAACCCCACCTTCTAGCATCCGTGTTAATAAAACAATTTGGTAAACGACGATTGACTGAGCAATCACAGTATGATTGAATGCCTTTCATACGTAATTTAAATACAACTGTACAAATTGAAATAGAAACCGTTGAAAAATATTATTTCATCGCTTAACAAATGTTCATTTTAACCTGTGAATAAACGTCATCAACTTAACTCTTCACGGAAATAATATGGTATTTAAAAGTAAGCAATTAAGTAACTGTGATAACACATTCTTCTGTAGAAATTGGATTAGTATTGTTTTAATGGAGTTTAACTAGACTTTTACCCAGTCAACACTTTACATTTGATTTGAATTTACATGAACAGAGGTATGCAAACGCCTGAGACCACAATTTCTCTTATGCCTTCCATGATCAGGTTGCACAAGATGAAAAATTCCTGAGAAGCATGAGTATATATATATATATATATATATATATTCAGCAAATGAAGCTGTGAGAAACAAGGCAAACGGGTTAACCTTGAAAAAATACGCGGATGAAGAGAAACATCATGGTTGAAGTGTACTTCATTACTTAAAGCAGCACAAAAGAAACAAGCTGCGTTGAATTATACTCATTTTAAAGCTATTCAATTCACACACTAGTTAACATACACGACGTAAGCCGGTGGTTTCGATGATGTTTCTGAAAGACAATCGGTGAAATGACATTCAGCTTGATTCTGCAGCTGTCTGTGCAACCAAGAATTCTCCGCAGTACCCTGACAAAAAAAATGGACAGCAAGACCTGAGTGTTTATATTATAATGTTTTTATTAATAAAAATTATACTGTCAAATGGAAAAAAACTGTCGGAAAATAAAACATTTGTGTTAAAGAAATTAACATGTAACATGAGATTTTTCAACCTTATACCTTATTTGAATACCACCTACGCTCCATTTAGCCTACAAAAGACTATGGGTAGTAAACCCCAAATTTCTCCAGAGGGTCCCCCTGAGGTTATCTTTGAAAGATCTTTTCCCTTCATTATTAACTTTCTACTAATTTAATAAAAACCAGAAACTTGGTACGTTATGAGCACCATACAAAAGTAATAAAACAATATATAAAGAAAATAGGAAAAGAATGAATGGGCATCCAGAAAGCTAGGATGCATTCTTGTCACAATCACTCAAAATTCATCACTTCATGTTACCGTCAGAAGGGGAGGAGAAAAGGAAATCGCAGCAATTTCTGTACACTTTCTATACTGATTCTAACCAGTCCAGGGTAGAAAGTCTAGAAAAATATCTCTCGGGTCCAAACAAGTGGCACAGTGGTAAGGAATTTCGCCGACCATGCACACGGTCTGGGGTTCGATCCCCTGCCGATGCACACCTGATATCAATGGTCGGCCTGCAAAATTTCGGCTACCGATATCACATGCTGAAAATTCCATGCTTGTAATGAAAATACGGTGTGAAATCAAGCTATAACCAAAATAAATAAAGTAGTCGTGATGTATCAACTGATGATAAGTTAATACAAATATATTTCATCCTACGACGTCACAGCAGGGGCTGATCATGTATCGACCGGTACGGGAGCCTCCGGGATGATATGCGTAACACATGTACACATCACCGAAGCCTATGTTTCAGAATCACCACGCTCAATGGCTGCTAACTTCCATCATGTCCAAACATGGGTTGCTGGACCTCAGAACTATTTACACACACGATGATTTCACTGGACGTAAGCAATTTTACAGATAGAGTACACAGAGTTGCAGCACATCCCTTAGCTCGGAGAGGCCAATTTTTACAGGCGTAAAGCAAGAATACGCCCAACGAAGCACCATAAACCGGACCTTTGGTAGCCAGGCTGAGGTTGCAGCAGCGCCTGAGGTGGCTGAAATTGGAGTTTGTCATCCTAGCTGTAGTGTGTCAAGCTCGAGAGGAGGCATCAGTTCAAAACCCGGTTGTTGCTGAATAGTTATAACCTAGCTTTCTTTTGTACACAACTTTAGCTTCTTCTATTGAGACGGTTGGTAATTATAAAGTGTTTCGACGCGAGTCTGTGTTCTGCTTTTCACATTTTACCCCAGCGTGTTTGGTATATTATCGTCTGCGCTGTTCTGTTATATAGCTCTTACTATAAGGTTGGAAATTTCGTCCGTCACATCTTAACCAACACTCACGAAGCTACCTAGGTACACGGACATGTTGACAACCCCACTGTTGGTTGGAAACACTGGTTATAGCTGGCTGTATTTCTTCACTCTACCTAAGGTGTTTCTGCATAGGGCTTCCAAGATTTTAACAATCTTCTCAAGCACAAAACGTATTCTGGAACATTGCCCAGCTTGATTAGTCAGAAGAGAAAAGAACAGTAGCAGCTTTATCCTCGAACACTGTCATCTCCGGACATCGAGCACCCCGCATGAATGCTTCACAGTGTTACACAGAGTCCCTCGATATCGTACAAAGGGACTTCGCATAGGCCATCTGCACATAGATGAATCATTAGCTATTCGGGATCGGAAACTGGACCTCTGCATTCAAAAGCACCACACACATTTACTCGCCCTACCGTGGCCAGAGTAAAGTTCTTACTATAATTTTCCTTCATTTTATTATCTTATGAAAATGAATCGTCAAAAAGAACATTTTCTGCGTTGTTTACGTCATTTTCTTACATCCCTCTCTTTCTAACAAGCAGTTACAGAGAGCAGTTCTGTTCAACGAATCGAAGCCAGCGCTAATATGAAGAAACAACGATTGTTGGTCTGCAATACATGTAAGAGTATTCCAATAACTGACAAAGGGTAAAGACATAATTAATGCATCCACGATCTGAATGAAATCCAGTCTGCTTCTCGAGAAGCAGTTTCTCACGTATTTTCTACACCCCGCAAACCAGGACAGCAACCAATATTTTAGACGCAACTGGTAGCAAACTAAAATCCCCAAGATCGACGCACGTATTGCGTTGGTCCTTTATAAGGACAGACACAATGATAGCTTCACTCCCCAATGATCGGATATCCTCATTTTTCCATACTCTCCTGGACAGTCCAGTCGACCTCCTGGTGAGAACCTCGCCACCATCTTTAAAAAGAGATGACATGTGCCTTGACGTTTCAGTACTTGAATTTCCTTTCGGAACCCTGTTCCTTTTAGTGGATGACTATTAACCGACCATGGAGCACTGCATTTAATGTTGTTGGATGCTGACGCTGCTGGTCAACTAAAGTGCCTTTCAAAGTGTTTTAACGAGCATCCCAGGCACCTTTTAGGTTGGCAGTCGGTGTACCATTTGCATCACAGACCGTCTCGCTGACATGTTTTTTTCGCTGTCGGTGACTTGGATGAGCGGGAGCAGCTTCGAACTATTGTCAAATGCAGCTGCTGATTCCATCTCACACGTACGTTCTGACCACTAAGCTTCGAAGTCCTGTTTGATCTTGAGCATGTTATTATACTTCCTAACTACCGGAATGGAGTGGTTCTAATAGAGAAGTTGCAAGAAACTCACAAAAACCTCAGAGGAGCATTCTTTTAAGCCACAAGCGAATACATTCGCCGTACCTATTTTGATAAAGTTTAGCAGGTGTCGCCAATGCTCATGTAGCTACTTGGAGGGCTTCTAGCTAGCCTTGAGTTTAACTCAGTCCGGTACTTCGCAGGGATACCAGGTGCTACCAGTTTACTTACTACAATCTATAGGAGACGCCGTTTATGAACACCACCGAATCTCAGGGTAAACCTTGTACACACTAAGGCATGATTGAAGTCCAGGTATGTGCTCCAGAGGAGGTGAAAGGCCTGTATGCATCCACGCCATGAGAAATTGACGGCCATGAGATTAATCTGAGTCCGTGCTTGATTGGCAGAGGGGAAGCCAGGTAGCGCTAAGGCAACCGCTGTGTCAGTGCTGGCCAGAAACAGGTTGTGATCTGAGTAAAGCTGCAGAAGACAGTCCCTATTATCTGACCTGAGACCATGTAAACCCCACTTGCCACCTGGAGGACTCTCCTCTGAGCCTAGACGGACGACCTGTGCTTTCAAGTCCCAGCTAGCAGCATTACGATACCTCCCTGACGCGCCTGCCATAGAAGCTCTCTCAACTGGTTAAAGTAAGACTAGTTTTCAATTTCATCCGGGCTGCAACCTGTTGGTGCATAGACAGAGATGACAAATGGGCACCGCTTCTACAGTCGACCGCGTTTTACTCTCGTACAGCCTGCTGCACTTCTGTGCAAAGTAGCATGTTGAAACTCAATCCGTCAGTCAAACATGACCAAACAGCCACTCCAATCAACTAAACAGTTCAGATACAATGGATAATTTAGACTGTACTGGAAAAAGTACAGCAGTCACTGACAAAATTCCACACTGACTACTTCTGTTACGTAAGTGAGAGTCCATCAATGATAAGATATGAAACTACCAGTTAAAATGACTGAAGACGTGAAATATTACTTTGTACGATAAAACAACTGCAGCCTAATGATATATTGCTTAGTGCTTCCGTACTTCATCAGTGTACCACGTTCACTTTAGTTAACAGAATATGTACTTTAAAAAAATACAACATTCATTTCTATGTGGAAGTGAAAGTATTATAGTTGACATTAACACAAAGTATTCGATTCAAGGATGCGTAAACAAATTTATACATATTCGTGCACTGTGACCATACTGAAAATAATCTGATGCGTGATAACACCTCGTTGATATGATGGAAGGTGAGGATAATAAAATTATACTGTGCGTCGGTGGCACAGTGGTTAGGACTCTCGCCGACCATGCACATGGTCCGGGGTTCGAGCCCACGCCGGCGCACACCTGATATCTATGGTTGGCCTGCAAAATTTGGGCTACCGATATCCAATGCTGAAAATTCCATACTTGTACCAAAAATACAGTGTGGAATCAAGCTGTAAATCAAAAATCAAAAAAAAAATCTATCATGTCCTGTTAGTAGTTCCTCTTTAAAATTATAGCTGACCACTAACAGAAGTTTTCGTGTTTCAGACACACAATAAACAAATCAACGAAAAATAGAATGAAATTACCTGAAAGTAGCCGATACTGGTCAATCTTTCAACAAATACGCCCCACTTTTCCTTAGATTCACTGGGAATCAAAAAATCAGGCGTGAACTGCGAATTTTGTGTATGCGAGTTAACATTGTTCAACAGAAGATCAAGTCCAATACACTAAAAAGAATTTGGATAAAAATTCACTGAGTATTTAACAGAAATGTTTTATTTAATGATACTAAAAAAAATTGGGAATTTTACCGAAAAACCACCTGCATTTTTAAGCAGGTGCGTTGATAGTGACTGGCACTAAAATCCAAGGGGCACGTTTTGTCCTCTCGATGTGTTTGCAGCATTCCAGTGAGTGGTAGGTGTTCTCCTCACTAAGACTCGAACTTAACACCTATCATTTTAAACGCCAAAACATTATCTACTAGGCTACTGAGCTGCAACACCCACCTCTTGTGTAACGGGCCTCCGTTGGTAATCACTGAAATCACCTTAAATTTCCCGATGATAAATTCACCGTCAACATGTCGAAGAAATACGTTAAGATCATGCATCCCAGGTTTAATAAAATGAATGAGCATGAAATACAAAACAACTTCAACGAACAACAAATGTTCTATAGTTTGTTTAAAACAAGAGACTACTAACCGACCTCTGATTGCTAGCTGCACAAATAACTTGAGTGACTGATAGAACCCACTAACAAAACATAATAACAAGAATAAATTCATTCGTAAACTTAAACATTGCGATAGCGAGCACGATGAAACCATGTCAGTCCACCAGAAAAAAATGAATAATTCTCTCTTAATAGTTTATAAAGACTTCTTGATAGCTTAAACTTTAACTGCTAGCGATACTCTTCATCGTTACTACCAAGATTTACGTCCTTATGCTAATACCAGGAATACTAGATATGAAGCTCAATACTTTTACAAGCACAATTACTAGCTACCATTGATTGTTTTAAGAGAAGAGTGTAATACTGTAGGCACAAATGATCAAAGAATATGAAAATAAATCGCCATGCATTGAACAATCAACGTTCTTGATATGATATCGTTTACCGCTGGAATAAATCAGAGATAAAATCTCGACGTGTATCACTGATTGAAATTGATTTGAATCAATAGTGGATTGTCAGTATTTTCATAGTTGTAAATATCTTGTGAATGGGTATCAACAAACAAAAATCAAATGTCCACTGACTATCTGTTTGTTGTGCATGAAATTGATAATCAAGTCTTTCTAAATGGGGTTCGTGTAGACACGTGGTACTGCAACCAAATACTAAGGCAAGACATATTCTCTATGAGAAGCTTGTGTACGGTGGAATAGATCAATAAATTGTAGTTATATTGCATCAGTTGTTTACATACAGTGATAAAATCAAGAAACTTATGATTGTGTGTGAACAAACGTTGGAACATAATTACAATTAATCAAGTCAAGACGTTTTAAGGCCAGCTATCTTCAAAATGCTGTGAAAATAGCACGTACATTTATCTACGGCTCAGATCATAATCTTTAGCAATTCTATGCGATTTTATCAAGCCCATCAAACGATTTGTGAAGGCCGTTTAAGTAGATCCCCTAAACAGTATCTATGTAAGAAACATTCGAGCTGGTTATCATGACACACAGGTGACATTGAAGTAGTAGCTGCTTTTATTATTACCTAAATCATGTTAGACTCTAAGTAAGGTGTCAACAAAATCCTAGGGTAAGGGAAAGAGCCTTCTTCAACGTACAGTACGTAAATAATACGAAGAAAATTGATAATTTTGATTCATTACAATAAAACTAACCAATTTCAGTCCAAGTTCAGCAGCTAAGCGACGAGATGCAGTATTGTTACTCTGAGGTTGCATCATTCCGCCTGGCGTTGGTAATGAACGCAGTCGAGCATAACGAAGTCGATTGAACCATACAGGAATGGTTACGTAAGATTTTGATAATTCAGCTAATTTTGGCCAGTTATGCCTACGAGGACCACCCTTATTCATACAATGGTTTGCGAAAATAGTTAGATTTTTGTTAAACAACTTCAGCCATGATTGTACACCAGAACCGTCGGAGATTTTATCTGCTAGAATATCTATAGATGAGTTAATGATACGCTTTGAATAAAATGTTGTGAAGATAGCTGCGACTGAGTAAGGAATTGTTATATGAGCCAAATGCGCTGTTTCAATAGAATCAGGATATCTAAAACAAGAAGGGAGACAATTTGTTTTGTTTGCTTTGATTTGTTTTTCTTAAAACAACTTTATCTGGTGCTCTAATGTTTCGACGATAAACTTCGTCATCATCATTATCATAATGATAACCTCAATAATCTTAGGCTAACTGCTACTTAATGATCTAGATTACTAGTAAGTGAAACGCAAGTACACTGTCTAATTACCACGATATGGATTACTATATAGCACTAAACGTCCTTATATAACATGTGTCTTAAAACTTAGTGCACTAACTTTTGTGAGGCTAGTCAGTTATGTTGTGTATGAACTTATAATTTATACACTGATGTCATTCGTTTTTACTTGTTACTAATTTATTAATCTAATAGAAATGTTACGGACAAATGAAACATGCTAAGAGAGATACGTAAACAAGCACATACGTATGTTGAGTACGTAAAATGCCGCTACTTTAGATAGACACTATAACCCTACATGTTTGTTACAAACACTTACTGAAATGATCACACCTCAATACCAAAATGTTTTCCAGAGCACCAAATTAAAAGTACCGTAATTCAGAGGTGTTCTGTTCTAACGAAAGCAATAAATGTCGACAGAATCAACGCTAAAAGCAAATCTCAAATGAGTTTATGGGAACCAAATTGAAACATAAAATCGACTCATTATGAATAAGGCAAAAATTGTAATTGAAGCATACTTCATTATTCTTTTCTGAATAGCAGACTGTATCGTACTTGACAAAAGGAAATCAGAGGCGTTGAAAACTTTGAAAGAATGCAAGGCATCATTTAATGTCATTTTGACCTTCCGGTTTTTGCAAAGGATATTCAGCTTTCCTTGGTACAACCATACCTAGTTTTACACATCAGAAAATGACATTAACTTACACGATTCTCAGCGTTTTCGGGATTCAACCACTTCGGCAAGTGATTCGCACATTCAATGAGAAGAAATTCACCATCTTCATCAGAAACCCTGAATTTCTATAGATAATAAGTGGTAAACTAACTGAATAATAATGCGTGGATCAAATTTGCTAAGTTCCAAAAGAATCCATACAATGAACCATTCGTCTTCGATGCATTCCCCACAGTCAACGAAACCAAACAACGAAACCGGACCCTTAGCTGGCAAATAATTTATTAATACAAGAAACCTACACGGTGGTTGAACCCATAGCTTGAAAGAATCTTTAAACCACTGATAACGGATGGAAGAAATGCTTGCAAACTCCATATAAGCGTTCCTTCTGCTCTTCACAACATCTTCATCAACCTCTTCAAGAAAAAGCACCCTGTAACATAAGCAGCTTCGCATTCTCGTATTCTAATGTCTTCAACACAATTGCGCACAGAATTAAAGTGGTGCACAAGTATTTATAGGTGAATTTGGACGGGAGATAACAGAAAAACGTCTATGACCAGCAGGATGTGCGTTTAAAGAAAATGAGTCGTCAACAGTTGAAGCTAATGTCGCTACAGGAAACAGAACAAAACATATGAATACGACATGATGATCAAGGCTAAAAGTGCATAATCCTCAAACTTAAAAGTTAAGTGAGAGTTGAATTTTAATAAAACTCACCCTGTTTGCCAAAATTTATAAAGACAGTTGCTAGCGTTTAATTCGTAAGTGTGAGGTAAACTACAAACACTTAAAGATTGTAGAAATCTCTCCAACTTTTTAAGGCAACCACTGCGGAAAAAGCCTTCCTAAACACATCCTTCATTGAGTGACTATTTCTGCAAAGAAACGATATGCTTGGCCTACAAAACTTCAGTAGTTCGCGAGAACATATCATTAGTTCCTGAAGGCACATGGATTGCTCTTATTTTGTAAAGCAGTCTAACAGAACATTCTCATTGGTCGAGATGCCAGAGTTCAGGTTAGTGAAGCTTGATGTGCACCTTGGCAAAGGATCCTAACGCTGAATGCTCCGACATAAAGTTGACGGCGTAATTTTAAAGGAATATAGGTAGTTTCACCGGCTCTGATAGCTACTTATGGTGGCAGAATTAGGTAGGGTGAAAAACCTGCCTGTAAAAGAGTTTTAACAGTAATGGAAAAGCAGCAATATCCATGTCAAAATATAACTTGCAGATGTTAAAGCAAAATTATATCTACATAACTGCAGTAATAAAACGAAGAATTACTTTACAAAAGTTTTGACGAACATTATATGACTAAGCAGGGCTATTTATTTGAAAGGAGAACAAACAATCATTCAGTGAAGACATACTTCACTTCAACGACTTCAATCGTATTTACATTACGTCCAAAAGAGTGCTAATCACACTACATAGCCAATCAACATAATGAAAAGACTTCCTAAAATGGTAACTAGAGTATGGGGTTGAAGCGGCTAAAAGATAAAAATGGTCATTAGGTAGCTGAATTTATGTGTCAAGAGCTGTCGAAACTGAAATGTAATTAGTTGTAATAGTGATTAAGAAAACAATATGAGGTTGAATGGAACTAACCAGAGAATGTCGCTAGTAAGGCTTTTCACAGAAATTTCTATTGGTTTCTGTGAGTTTGGTAAGCGCTTCACCCACAACTGATAAATGGATTTAAGACATAGGGATGAAATTATCCTCTCATGCCAAGACGCTGATTAGATTAAGTCTTTTGATCACATTGAGCAGCAATTCTCGAATGTGTGGCATGTGATTCGCCCCTGTCATATGTAAGACTATGATACAGAACTGGTCTACACCGACTACATTTTGACGACAGGAAGTGAAGTAGCAGTGTGTTGGCCACTTCACTTATTCGGGAAGTTGCAACAGACCTAATGGTTTGATTGCTTATGAAATCTCAGCACAGATACAAAAGAGCTCATGTAGCGTCTGTCAACTTACATCATCTCTCGCGTTGACGTGATATCCAGCTATCAATCGGACGACATGGGTACTATTCGCTCTTTCCTTCTTTATGACTGATAAATGACCAAAAAAAGAAGCTAACTGACTTCGACCATACACATTCGCATTCTATCTCCCACATTAAGTAGAATAATATGATGAGCAGTGTTGAGGTTTGGGAGTCAATCGATGAGGTTGTGAAGCTGCGTCGATTGGGATGGATACGACACGCATGCTGTCATAGTCTTCCTCATCAAACAGCTTCAGTTGACGTCGGATTAAGTTAGAAAAGTCTGTGGTTGGTTATATCAAAACCCAAAATCCATCACTGAACTCTTCTATTATTGCTTTGAGCCACACGAGCATGTAGAAACTGTCCGGCTTGTATCCTTGATAAGCTGGGAACTATTAGTACCGTCTAAAAGCTGTTCTCAAAGGTGCAGATGCATTCACCGCAAATGAACTCCTAGGTACACCAAATTCTCACGTTCTTTTTTGGTACATTTTTATCATATTTCTTTTAAACACTTTCCCCTACATGCTATATGGAGTGTGGGATCTTGGGTTTCTTTATTTTTGACCACAGTCCGACGTTGAAAACTGTCACCACAGCCAAGTTTCATTTTGTTTTCCGTCATGTTTAGCTAAGATTCATGTTATCCTTCACAGCTGAAAAATAACTGAGTTACCAACTCGGTTAAGGTTACTGGGACTTCTCCTAAGGCATCTGACCAACCCAAGCAAAGTCAGCAAACATCGTATTTCCATGTGGACAGTAGTTGGATCTGTAAGAGACTATCAGCCTCCTGTCCACCACTTTCAAGTCAATCCGTAGCTCAATTCTGTCATTTAATTGATAGTGGGTCATGTAGTCGAGAAAACGAGAGCTTTCAAAGTAATTCATCGAATCCCACCGAATCTTTCCAATAGACTTCGTATTTGTCTACTGCACACAGCTGAGGCGATAGACACTCTAATTATTAAACCTAAACTATGCATTAAAAAGAATTTCGTACAGCCATTATCCCTCCATTGGCCTATTAAGACATAACCAACTAGAGACTTCTACACCACCCCTTGTTTATATTCTCAACCCCTTTCTTATCATCCCTTAGTCTTATCTTCATTATAAACGTGTTTCATTTCCTTCGCCTACAATCTGTCTGTCTCTGTCTGGATTCAACATAGAACTTGGCACCGAAGTGCAGCAGTTCGAGTTGCCACGTTCCAAAATAGCACACAAGGTAGACAAGAAGATGAGTGAAGAGAATTAATAGAGTTTGACAAATATAAGAGTGAAACAGAATGGGTAATGGTAGAAAGGAATATGAAGGATTACAGAGACTGAATACATCTGAGCTGGCCATTGACAACGTTGAGCCATGTCACCTATTGTCTCCAGCCATTGATTCCTAGAGTCCCGAGGGCCCCAACCCGGGAGTCTGCATCTCCCTACCTGACATTACTTAATCGGTTCATGTTTTTACTAGCCTTTATCCACTACTTTTACCTGAACAATTGTTTGTTTAATCATACTCTTTTTCATTATTCGTGTTATCACAGATCGCCTCACTTTTTCATCCTTATTATTGATGAGACCATTATTATTATTACTATTGTTATTATCATTACTACTATTATGACTAACTTCACAATTTATATTCACCATAGGATTATCCTAAAGACAAATCACCATGATTGGTTTATATTTGAATTTTTATCTGTAAACTTATTTATATTAGAGTTAAGCCTGATGAGACCTAACTGAAAACAATATTGTTCGCTAAAATGTGTTGTTCTAAATAAGTGATCGTCTGAATGACAGTTGAACACTGTTGCGACGGCAAAAGATACGATTCCAGTACACAAAAAGCAAGTAACAACTGCAATTGACGATAAATAGAGTTTATGTGGTTCCAGTAACTTTTATAACTTAGTATTCATTCACCTGAGAGGTTTTCGTAATAAAAATATTCCTGGATCTAACTTATAGTTGAATTTAGAGTTTAAAGAGGTCAAGGCAACTTCACACAACTATTTCGCGCTTCAAAAGATAGTCTTACAGATATAAGTATAAAACTTGGGCACTGTGGTAGAGCATAACTCCATTATGGATAAGATTTTATTTCGACAAATCACACATTGTTGTACAGTCATATTCATTTCGAGCACAAACCATTGCTCACAGTTATATCAACTTGATATGATATTACTGTACAACACTGTGTGATTTATCAAAATAAAATCTTATCCATAATGGAGCTACAGTCTTACAGAATAGCGGTGTAAGAAAACTAAGGCTGTCAGCAATTTACGCACGCGTGTATTTGATAAACGTCCGGCTATCTTAGCATGATGCTTAAAAATAACCACGTTTTACAAATACCTCTGCTTTCCTCCCGAAGATTTTCCACTATCAAGTGGTTTTAAGGACTTACTTTATAATCATGTGAGCGACCGAAAGTAACTACAGGAAGTAATCGCTAGTCTTGGCGCCAGAGTGGCTGTATAGACTACTATTCAAATTCAGGTGAACAATATAACATGACAAGCATTTCAGTTAAAATTATTTGAGATATAATATTCACCAAACAAAATTTCAACCGCAGTGCTGATTAATTTAAGCTGTATCGTAGAGTTAGAGAAAAGGCTTTAAGCGTCAATCCCCAAATTACCGTTTAACAAGCGATATCACAATATTAAATCACCTCTCCCCCTTCTGTATGGTAACAAAAAGGGGTTCAAATGTTTCACCCTCTTCTTACAAGAAAGGTGGAAGACACTGACTGATTTGGTTTCAACTACATGCAGAGTCTGCAAGACATGTGCCTCCCACTTAAAGCATGAACTAAGCGTTTATTTACGCTACCCTAGCTGTGGCCCTGACATATGTTGCTTAGTGTACTGTGAGCATAAACTCACCTAAGAGTTTGTCAGCCTTTCTTGGTTCCGACAGCGACCTGCAGCAGTAGAACATGCAGTTGTTATTTTTATTTTGTTCCTAAACGTCCAGCAGTTCTTCCATTATGGGTAAATTTTTGTTTTGATAAAGTCTTACAGTGTTATACAGTAATGTTCACTGATATTACTGTATAACACTGTAAGACTTTATCAAAACAAAAAATTACCCATAATGGAATTACACTCTACCACAGTGCACAAGTTTAATTCTTATATCAGTCAAGCAGTTCTGTCCCTCAGGGACGTGTACAATCTTCGATATGAGTACATTACCAAGCATTTTTTACAGGACTAATTCACAAAATCCATACATTAAGCCATTCATTTAATTCGTCTAGATCTATTTGTAAGCCTCACGTTTCATCAATAGTATTTGTTGTCTTCCAGATCTTGATGTCGTCCACAAATAATAGTGAGGATGGAGTAATAAGGCCGAGAAAAAATGACATCTTGTCCCCAGTTTTCCCCGATGTACCGCAGTCAACAGTCAGT